CCAGATATATAAGGCAAATATTATTACAGCTAAAGAGATAGCTAGACCCCAGTAAAATAATAGCTAGAGATCTCAACATCCCACTTTCAGCATTGGACAGATCTTCCAGACAGAAAATCAACAAAGAAACATTGGGCTTAATCTTCACCATAGACCAAATGAACCTAATAGATATTTACAGAACATTTCATCCAATGGCTACAGAATACATAGTCTTCTCCTCAGCACATGTATCATTGTCAGAGATAGACCACATGTTAGGCCACAAAACAAGGCTTAAAACATTCAAAACAAACAAACAAACAAACAAAAAACCTCAAATAGCCCAGGGGTGGTGACTCACGCCTGTAATCCCAGCACTTTGGGAGGCTGAGGTGGATGGATCACTTGTTCCTGGGCGGTCAGGAGTTTGAGACCAGCCTGGCCAATATGGTTGAAACTCCATCTATACTAAAAATACAAAAATTAGCTAAGCATGGTGGCACATGCCTGCAGTCCCAGTTATTCGGGAGGCAGAGGCAGAAGAATTGCCTTAGCCCGGGAGGTTGAGGCTGCAGTGGGACAAGATCGTGCCACTGCACTCCAGCTTGGATGACAGAGCTAGACTCTGTCTCAAAACAAAAACAAAAACAAAAACAAAACTGAAATAATAACACTTATCTTTTCTGACCACAGTGGAATAAAACTAGAAATCAGTAACAAGATAAAAACTATACAAACACATGGAAATTAAAGCAGTAGGCTCCTGAATGATCAGTGGGTCAATGAAGAGACTAACAAAGAAACTGAAAATTTCTTGAAACAAATGATAATGGAGACACAACATACCCAAACTTATGAAATACAGTAAAAGCAGTACTAAGAGGGAAATTTATAGCTATAAGTATCTACATAAAACAAGAAGAAAAATTTCAAATGAACAACCTAAAAATACATCTTAAAAAACTAGAAAAGCAAGAGTAAATCAAACCTAAGGTTGGTGGAAGAAAAGAAACAATAAAGATCAGAGGAGAAATAAATGAAAGGGAAATGAATAAAATAATGCAAAAGATCAAGAAACCAAAAATTGGTTTTATGAAAAGATTTTAAAAATTGACAAATCTTTAGCCAGACTAATTATAAAAAAAAGGAGAAGACCCAAATAAATAAAATCAGAAATGAAAAAGGAGACATTATAACAGGTACCGCAGAAATTTAAAGGCTCATTAGAGACTACTATTAGCAACTAAATGCCAAAATTGGAAAACTAGAAGAAATGAATAAATTCCTAGACACATACAACCTACCAAGGTTGAACCATGAAGAAATCCAAAACCTGAGTAGACCAAGAACGAGTAATGAGATCAAAGCTGAAATAAAAAGTCTCCCAGCAAAGAAAAGCTCAGGACACTATCACTTCACCACTGAATTTTACTGAACACTTAAAGACAAACTAATACCAATCCCACTCAAACTATTCTGAAAAACAGAAGAGGAAGAAATACTGCCAAACTCATTCCGCAAGGCCAGTATTTCCCTAATCCCAAAACCAGACAAAGACGCAATAAAATAAAATTTACAAGTCAATATCTCTGATGCATACTGATGCAAAAATCCTCAATAAAATACTAGCAATCAAATTCAACAACACATTAAAAAGATCATTCATTACGACCAAGTGGAATTTATCCCGGGGATGTGAGGATGGTTCAATGTATGCAAAACAAACAATGTGATATATCCTATCAACAGAATGAAGGACAAAAACCACATGATCATTTCAATGGATGCTGGAAAAGCATCTGATAAAATTCAACATTCCTTCATGATAAAAACCTTAAAAACCTGGGTACAGAAGGAATATACCACAATAAAAGCCATATATGACAGACCCACAGCTAGTATCATACCAAATAGGGAAAAACCTGAAAGCCTTTCCTCTAAGATCTGAAACACAAGGATGCCCACATTCACCACAGCATTTTTATATGCCAAAAGCACATCACCTGAAAAAGAAATCAAGAAAGTAATCCCATTTACTACAGCTACAAAGAAAATTAAATACCTAGGAATTAACAAAAGAAGTGAAAGATTTCTACAACGAAAATTGTAAAAGATTGATGGAAGAAATTAAAGAGGACACACAAAAAATGGAAAGATATTCCATGTTCCTGGATTGGAAGAATCCCAACATTATTAAAATGTCCATACTATCCAAAACAATCTGCAGATTCAATGCAAGCCCTATCAAAATACCAATGACATTCTTCATAGAAATAGAAAAAAAATCTTAAAATTTATATGCGACCACAAAAGACCCAGAATAGCCAAAGCTATCCTGAGCAAAAAGAACAAAACTGGAGGAATCTACCTAACTTCAAATTATACTACAGAGTTACAGTAATCAAAAAAGGATGGTACTAGCATAAAAATAGACACATACAGATCAATGGAACAGAATAGAGAACCCAGGAACAATTTCATACATTTACTGTGTACTCAGTTTTGAGAAAGGCGCCAAGAACATACATGGAGGAACAGAGAGTCTCTTCAGTAAATGGTGCTGGGAAAACCGGATATCCATATACAGAAGAATAAAACTAGACCCCTGTCTCTCACCATATACAAAAATTAAACCAAAATGGATTTAAGATTTAAATTTAAGATCTCAAACTTGAAACTACTAAAATAAAACATTGGGGAAACCCTCCAGGTCACTGGTCTGGGCAAAGGATTTCTTGAGCAATACCCCACAAGCACAGGAAACGAAAGCAAAAATGGACAAACGGAATCACATCAAATTAAAAAGCTTTTGCACAGCAAAGGAAACAATCAACCAAGTGAAGAGACAACCAATAGGATGGGAGAAAATGTTTGTAATTACCCATCCATCTGGCAAGGGATTCATAACCAGAATATATAAGGAGCTCAAACAACTCTGTAGGAAAAAATCTAATTATCTGATTAAAAAATGGGCAGAAAATCCGAACAGACATTTCTCAGAAGAAGAAAATGGCAAACAGGCATATGAAAAGGTGCTCAATCAACACCAATGATCACTAGAGAAATGCAAATCAAAACTACTTTGAGATATCCTCCTAGTCCAGTTAAAATGGCTTTTATCTGAGACAGGTAATAATGAATGTTTTGCAAAGATGTGGTGAGAAGGGAACACCGTTGGTGGGAATGTAAATTAGTACAACCACTATGAAGAGCAGTTTGGACGTTCCTCGAAAAACTAAAAATATTGCTACCATATGATTCAGCAATCCTGCTGCTAGGTATATACCCAAAAGAAAGGAAATCAGTATACTGAGGAGATATCTGCACTCCCATGTTAACTGCAGCCAAGATTTGGAAGTGACCTAAGTGTCCATCAACAAACAAATGGATAAAGAAAATGTGGCACACACCACAATGGAGTACAATTCAGTCATAAAAAGGAACAAGATCATGTCATCTGCAATAACATGGATGGAACTGGAGGTTATTATGTTAAGTGAAATAAGCCAGGCACAGAAAGACAAACTTCATATGTTTTCACTTATTTGTGGGAACTCAAAATTAAGACAATTGAACTCACGGAGATAGAGAGTAGAACAATGAGTTATCGGAGGCTGGGAAGGGTAGTTGGGGGTCGTTTGGGGAGTGGGGATGGTTAATGGGCACAAATAAGCAGTTAGATAGAATAAAATCTAGTATTTGCTAGCACAACAGGGTGACTATAGTGAATAATTTCATTGTACATTTTGCAATAACTGAAACTGTAATTGAATTGTTTGTAATTAAGTAAAAATGCTTGAGGTGATGGATATCCCATTTACCATGATGTGAATATTATACATTGTATACCACTATCAGACTATCCCATATACCCCATAAATAGGTACACCTACTATGTAGCCACAAAAATTAAAAATTAAAAAATAATCTGTTTTATTTTAAAATGTCAAAAATTATAGTTCACTGAAAATTATATCCTTTACAGTTATTTTAATCCAGAATTTAAAGAGGAGATATTGAAGTTAATTTTTTTATAAACCCTCAAAAGAATATCCCTTTCCTTCATCTCTCATTCCACTCAACTACAGATACAAGTAAGATATCAATTATCTAAGTAGATGTACAGCTAAAATAAAAATAAATCTGGCTATAAAATGTAACTTCTCTCTTTTTTTGAGACGGAGTCTCGCTCTGTCGCCCAGGCTGGAGTGCAGTGGCTTGATCTCGGCTCACTGCAAGCTCCGCCTCCCAGGTTCACACCATTCTCCTGCCTAGCTGGGACTACAGGCGCCCACCACTACACCTGCCCATTTTTTGTACTTTTAGTACAGACAGGGTTTCATGGTGTTAGCCAGGATGGTCTCAATCTCCTGACCTCATGATCTGCCAGCCTTTGCCTCCCACAGTGCTGGGATTACAGGCGTGAGCCACTGTGCCTGACCAAAATGTAACTTCTTAAAAGATGCCTTACAACTAATAAAATAGTACTACAATTATGCTTTGTAGGATCAGTACACAAATTATATATAAAATATCCTGTTATATATATATATAAATTCAGAAGTGAGAAGATTAACATTGGCTGTCTTTGGGTGTTAGGATGAAGTGATTTAAATATTTTTCCTTGTAATTATCTTTATTTTCCAAATATTTAGAAATAAACATAAACGAGCTTATTTAGAATGCCCACAGATAGACTTTTTAAAATATTTAACAGTACTTAATTAGATATGGATTGTTACAAATAAGCTTAAAGATAAAATTTACGGATGCTGCCAATTGTATAAAACTCATACCTTGATAAACTTCTTACTGGTATTTAGTAAAACAATTTAAAAGCAAAATTACTCATTTAACGACTGCATAGAAAAATATAGTAAGGGTGCATCATAACGATTCCATTAACAGCAGTAACTAAGGTTATTTACCATTTTTCACCATTACAAATAACAAAATAATAAATATCTTTTGTCCACGTATCCTTGTGCATACAATTCTACTTTCCATTTATTTCTCACCTGCTTCATCATAGTCATCACCACAGACATTCTCTTGGCCAACCTGTTGAAGACAACTAAATGGATCACAGGCCAATGGGCTCCCAAAGAAACTTTGTTCTCGGCTTATTGAGACTCTCAGGGGGTCTCTGTCTTGATAAATACCTGGTTTACCTGGGGGAAAAAAAATTTCCACTTCAGTTTCTGGAACTATTAATAGCTAGAACTAAAGTGCCAATTTAGATTATGGGTAGAAATCTAAACCCCTAAAGACTTAAAGTACATAGCAAGAAAATAATTCCTTATCTTTCACAGTCAAGCTTTTACATTATTTGTACTCAATTTTACTAAGCTTTTAATGATGCTGCTACCTCACCACATCAGATTATGCCCCAGTATTGACTAATCACAAAGAAAATTCATGGAGAATTTACCAGCCATTATAACATGCATTCACAATTTATATATAAAGTTCAAAAATAACCACAACTAATTTGTGGTATAAGAATCAAGATATGGTTTAGAAGAGAGGGGATGATAACTGGGAAGGTAAAAGAGAAGAGTTTACTGGGTTCTCTAATGTTCCACTTCTTGACCTGGTGGTGTTTACATGGGTGTGATTATTACAGTGATAAACCACTGAAACAAACATGATTTGTGCACTTCTTTGAAGGTTATATTTTGATAAAGCATCCCCCCAAAAACTGGGGAATTAAGGGTGCTAGGCACTACTACAAAAGGACTACATGCAGCAGGAAACTAAAAACAGAACATTTAAGACTATGTACTTGGAAGAGTTATATCCCTCTCCTGAGATCCCTGTCCATCAACAACATCTCCAGAGGAAACTAAAGGTTTATTCTCCGGAGAAACCGAATCTGATACACTCTGGGGTCCAGGGGATCAGACACAGAAAGGAGGCAAGAGTGGAACGGGGTGACAGAATGCCATAAGGAAATCAGAGGGCATTAAAACAAAGTCTGTATCCTCAATCCAGATCTCCTAGGTCTGGCTCAATAATATCAACAGCCAGGCTTATATCAAGCTTAGAAGGTATTTCTTTGAATAAACTAAACTTCCCTCAAGGAATGGAATGACAGATACTAAGGTGAGCGTCCTCTCTACAAAGCCATACTTTTTCTAATAAAGTCCAACAGCATATATGGCCCCTCACCCTGACAAAACCTCCAACTGGCCTTTTAGCATCCCGTTCAAATATGAAGATAACAGAGGAAAGGCTCTAAAGTATAAGACAGAGACAACAAAAATGAAAGAACTCAAACAAAAAATATAAAACCCCAAACCAAAAAATCCACTATAAATATTTGAAGTAGATATTCTGCATCCATGAAACAAACAGCAGGATGCTATAAAAAAGGAAAATAATCAGAGAAAAAGAGTAACCTTTTAGAAACTACAATTTGATCAAAAGTTCAAAAGAAAAGTCAGAAGACAAAATTAAGAAAATTTGCCCAGAAAACAAAACCCAAAGAAAAAGAAATGAACTACAAGAGAAGAAAAAATGGAAAGATCAATATAGATCAGTATTTCTCAACCTTATTTTTATCATCCCTTAAGGAGTCTTTTTAGACTTTTCCTTTTCAAACTGCCTCTATCCCCATTCAGTTTTAATAACCACAAATATACTGCATATCTGTTTATGCATATTTGTGCTTTGTACATATAAATAGTAAAAGTTTTTTTCACCTCCCCAAGAACCAATTTTTATCCCTGTAGGGGGAAAAACACCCTTGTTAAGAATGCATAGCATGGCCCATAAAACTTCCAACTAAAAGGTGTTCCACACAAAGAGAAAATAGTGCAAACTACATTATTCTGAGAAGTATTTAACTGAAGTAGTAGAAAGTGGAAAGACAGACACTCTAAAAAAACTTTAAGCAAATTAAATAAAGAAGACAATTTACTACACGAAAAAAAGTTATGAAAATAAAATATAATCACATAATATACTAATGAACTCAGCAGTGAAAAAGGTCTATGTATCACCATAATGATAATTTAGCTTAATTTTTGCTTAAACCCACTGCAACTATGGAAGTAAATACAAGAAGAAATACTTAAAAGACTTGAAAAGTAACTGCCTCTGGTGAGTGGTATTAAAGGGTGTGTAGGGGGCAGGAAGAACTGCTGTTTCATGTTATACCTTTGAGCGCTATTTCCCCTTTTAAATTACTTGCATGTAATATGATGATACAAGTATTACCCTAAGAAGTATGGTAAAGGCTATGATGAGAACAAGACTTCATGAGAAGGAAATCTGAATAAGTTTACCAAACAAATGACACTTACTAAGTCTTGGGAGGAAGATCATGAGGGCCCGGTAGTTCACCTACTGGGGGTTTTGGTAGGGATTTTAGTTCACCTACCTAGGGATCTTGACTTATTTAGACTTATTCCTAGACTTAAAAGAAACCACTGCAGTCTCAACCCCCTGAGCTTAGGTGAGTCTCAACCCCCTGAGCTTAGGTGAGTCTCCCACCTCAGCCTCCCAAGTAGCTGGAACTACAGGCAAGCGCCACCATATGGGGTTTCACTGTGTTACACCAGGTTGGTCTCAATCCTCCCATCTTAGCCTCCCAAAGTGCTGGGATTACAGGTGTGAGTCACTGCACCTGGCATACCTCCCTTAATTCTTTCAAACGCTCAGAAACACAGGTACAATATTTTATAGCTGAAGATCAAAACAGCTAATATTAACATTGCAGCTTTTTTTTTCAACTACTATACTAATGAGGATACAACTTCTAAGTACCTTTCTATTGATAAAACTAATTTTCCCCTTTAAAAAATAATTTATTTTGATAAATTTGATCGAGAAAATTATTTAGTGAATCTGAATTCTAAAAATAATTATGAAATTCACATAAGACTATTTATTAAGAATTACAGGGATGGGTGTTTTAATATTTTTTTCTGACACCTGCATGTAGAAAGTAGTACAGTGAATAAATAGATCTGTTCTAATTGACCATAAAGCCAGGATTTAAGCATAATAATCCTATAAAAATACAAGAAAAGAGCAGTGAAGGTAGGAAAGTAGAAAGTGACAAAGGAAAAGAGAAAAAAAACAACCTGAGTGTATCCTAAAGAAACACATTTAGAAGGCAGACATGAAAGGAAGCAGAGGGAACAAGAGTGTCAGAACACAGAACATCAGAAAATTTTTGTCTACAATAAGTTGGTTTCCCCATAAACAAGATAAAGAAACTGTATAGTCATAGTTATTACCCATGCCACATTTCCTTAAGTCCAAATTTTAAATACTGTTTACATAAACCATTTTTTCCTTTTCATGAAAGTCAGTCTAGGTTTCTTTTTTTTTTTTTCCAATCTCCCTTTTCTGCTATAAGTTCAACAAAAAACATTTTACACTCTGAAAAAATGTAGACCAGGTGTGGTGGCTCACACCTGTAATCCCAGCACTTCGGAAGGCTGAGGCGAGCAGATTATCTGAGGTCAGGAGTTCAAGACCAGCCTGGCCAACATGGTGAAACCCTGTCTCTACTAAAAATACAAAAATTAGCTGGGTGTGGTGGTGGACACCTGTAATCCCAGCTACTCGGGAGGCTGAGGCAGGAGAATTGCTTGAACCCTGAAGGTGGAGGTTGCAGTGAGCCAAGATCATACCACTGCATTCCAGCCTGGGCAACAGAGTCCATCTTAAAAAAAAGTAGAAAACTGGCAAATTATTTAAAAATCTTATTTTATCAAACCATCTATTTACCTAGTAGAGAAGTTCTGCCACTTGCTGGTGACTCTACTTCTTGTATCGTACTAAGTTCATGCTGGTTTAAGTCCAAACCACACTTGACTTTTGCTACAGGTGGTTTTGAGGATCTTCTCCCCAGATCTCCTTCCAGATGCTCACCTATTAAGTCAATGACAAGGTTGGGTACAATACAAAATCTATTAACATACTTCTAACTTTTCTTTAACTAACAAACTACAGGGGACGAAAACAAGAAATAATCAGTGAAATAATTACAATCAAACACAATTATCTTACCACTTTGCTTGGCACTAGTGTCGTCTGAAGCCAAATGATCATCATCAGAGTTGTTCCTATCTGCATGCCTAATGTTTTCCTGATCATTTCCTGCTAGATCTTGTGTGTTAGGAAACCACTCTCTGAGCTGTCCCATCTTCTGGGTTTTTAAATCATTTTCAACTGTGGGCTTACTTATCTGAAAAAGTGGAGATGAGGGTGGGGAAACACAAGTTGGGGGATCATGTGAAGAAGTATTCATTAGATTTTTATCTCCCTTCTTAAATTAGAAAGTCAACCAAATAAACAGTTCCATCAATCACACTTTACATTTTTATCTATATATAAAAAATAAGATATGCTTCTAATGCCAAAAGGATTTCCACTGAAAATACAACCATTTGGCCGGGTACTGTGGCTCACGTCTGTAATCCCAGCACTTTGGGAAGCCAAGGTGGGCAGGTCACCTGAAATCAGGAGTTCAAGACCAGTCTGGCCAACATGGTAAAACCCCATCTCTACTAAAAATACAAAAATTGGCTGGACGTAGTGGTGCGTGCCCATAATCCCAGCTACTTAGGAGGCTTAGGCAGGAGAATCACTTGAAACTGGGAGGCAGAGGTTGCAGTGAGCCGAGATCGTGCCATTGCACTCCAGCCTGCAGCCTGGACAACAGAGCAAGATTTCATCTCAAAAAAAAAAAAAAAAAAAGAAAGAAAATACAACCATTCACAGCCTTGGACTTAAAAACTTAGTCTCCAGCCAGGTGCAGTGGCTCATGCCTGTAATCCCAGCAGTTCGGGAGGCTGAGGCGGGCAGATCATGATGTCAGGAGATTGAGACCAACCTGGGCAACAGGGCAAAACCCTGTCTCTATAAAAAATACAAAAATTAGCTGGGCCTGGTGGCACATGCCTGTAATCTCAGCTCCCCCGGAGGCTGAGGCAAAGGAATCGCTTAAACCAGGGAGTCAGAGGTTGCAGTGAGCCAAGATGACGCCACTGTACTCCAGCCTGGTCACAGAGCAGGACTCCATCTCAAAAACAAACAAACAAACAAAAAACAAAACAAAACAAAAAAAACTTAGACTCCACTGCATCTTTCCATAAGAGATTATATTTGAGTATTTCCCTCTGCTTTTCTTTTGCCATTACTTTTCCTTTAAATGACCAGTAAATCTCTAGACGTTAACTCTTCCTGAACTCAACTTAAGCTTCTTTTCTACATTAAAGGATTTGTAGAATTCTATTTAGACTAAATAATAAATTTAGGAAGTAGCCTTTCATTTATTTATTTTTTTGAGATAGGGTCTCCCTCATTACCCAGGCGGGAGTACAGTGGCATAATATGGTTTACTGCAGCCTCAACCTCCTGGGCTCAAGTCATCCTCCCATGTAAGCCTCCAGAGTTGCTAGGACTAGAGGTACATGCTACCATGCCTGGCTAATTTTTGTATTTTTTGTAGAGACAGGGTTTTGCCATGTTGCCCAGGCTGGTCTTGAACTCCTTGGGCTTGGGAGAACCACCTGCCATGGCCTCTCAAAGTGTTGGAATTATAGGCCTGAGTCACCATGCCCAGCGGAACTGGCCTTTTAAAATAAAAAGGATACATTCAAATTTAGAACATACTCTTGTCTCCCCGGTAGGGCAACTATGAATGAGTCACTGGGCCAGAGTCTTATGAACAATTCAGATATAAGCAGCAGGTCCAGCTCTACATCAGCCTAAAATCATTGCCAGTTTTACAACAAGCCATAATAGTGTCACTTGAGAAAAAAGGATGGTATTGATTTTGATTTGTATATAAATGTCAACAAAGAGCACAATGTCCGTTGCTGCATAAGATAAATTCTGCTAACCAGTTATTTTTTACAATTTTAATCTTACAGTAAGCTTAAAATGCATTAAAACAAAACTCCAAAATAAGAATCTACATTGTTTTGTGGTGTGTTTGCATGTGAAATTAACTGAACTTCGGGCCAGGTGTGGTGGCTCACACCTGTAATCCCAGCACTTTGGGAGGCTGAAGTTGGTTTCAGACCAACCTGGCCAACATAGTGAAACCCCATCTCTACTAAAAAAAAAAAATACAAAATTTAGCCAGGTATGGTGGTGCACGCCTGTAATCCCAGCTACTTGGGAGACTGAGGCACAAGAACCACTTAAACCCAGGAGGTGGGAGTTGCAGTGAGCCGACATGGTGCAATGCACCGCAGCCTGGACAAGAGAACAAGACCTTGTCTTAAAAAAAAAAAAAAAAAAAAAAAAAAAAAAAAAAAAAAAAGAAAATAAAAAAAAATAAATTAATTGGGCTTCATGTAACTCTTAACCTCATAAATACCACGTGGGTGGATTGATTTTTGTTTTAACTTCCATATCATTTAGGGTGGAAAATCAAAGCACAGTTAAGGTCAAACTACTTATTCTCAATAATTGAAAACTTGTAATACTAGTATTAAAAACTGATTTGGGTTTAAGCTTCTATTGTTTCATTATTATTCAGGTTTAAAACATACCTGACTGTCTTTAAAGAAATCCTTCAAAGTCTCTTCATGTTTCTGTATCTGCTGCTGCAATGCTGTTTGTCTCTGTACAAGCAATTTTTCTTGGGCTTTCTGGCTATAATGCAAAACTTCTCTTTGTAGATCCAACTGCTTCTGAAGTCCCAAGTTATCTTGCTGAGCTAAGACAGGCTGTGAAAAACTCAGAAGTCTATCTTGAAACCCTGGGATCACAGGACCACTTGGGGGAGCTGCATGTTCATTCTGGGATGAATACAATTCACAAGTGCTTTTAGGTTTAGCTTCTGCAAAAGGTAGTGGAATAAACGAATGCTCTGTTTCCTTGGGTAGCAACAAAGAGGGGATAGTATGCTTAGCAGATTCACTTTTGTTCAACTTCCTTTGTTTGTTTAAAGGCAGTTCTTCCTGGGGTTTCTCATAAGAATACACCACTTCCCTTTGTGCATCCAATTGTGCTGTCAAATTATCTTGCTGAGGCAGAATAGGCCGTGATAAACTCAAAAGTCTATCCTGTAATCTTGGGATCTCAGGATGACTTGAGGGAACAGTATCATTACTTTTGGTTGGGAAAGACTTCTGGGTTCTTTCAGAGTCAACAACAGGCAGTACTACCTGGGATAAGAATGAAGAGGAGCTAACTTGTTCAGATGATACTCTTTTCTCCAATTCACTTAATCTTTGCAAAAGCAATTCTTCTTGGACTTCATGTATAGAGCGAATGACTTTCTTCTGTGTATCCAACTGCTGTTGAAGTGCCTGCAAATCACCATGGTGAGACTGGATAAAATGCTCAGAAGATACCTTTTCCTCAAATTTACATGGTTGTGACAAAACCAGTTCTTTCTGGGTTTTCTCAATAGAAGGAAGGAAATCTGTCTGTGCATGCAAGTGTTCTTCGAGTGCAATCGAATTATCTTGTTGAGGTAAAACAAGATGTGATAAGCCCAATGGCCTATCAGGCAATGTTATCTCTGAGGGTCCTGAGGATACCATATTATCACTGTTAATTGAACATGGTTCTTCGTTTCTTTCAGATTCAGTAAGAGGTAATGAGGTGAATGAATGCTGTGGTACCAGGGGTAAGGAAGAGGTGTCAACCTGCTCAGGAGATATTCTTCCTTCCCATTCACTCTGTTGATGTAAAAGTAATTCTTCCCGAGCTTCTTGTCTAGCTAGAATGATGGCTTCTCTCTGTGTAGCTAACTGTTCTTGAAGTGCCTTCAAATTATCTTGTTGAGGCTGGATAAGTTGCGATATCCTCAAAAGTCTATCTTGCAATTGTGGGATCTGAAGGTGGCCTGAAAAAATTTTACTTTCACTCTCTGTTAAAAGAGGTTCCAGGATTGTGCCAGACTCAGCTGAAGCTAACGAGGTAAATGAAAGCTGTACCAACTGGGGTATGAATGAAGATGAGCCACTTTGTTCAGAAGCTGTGTTTTCTTGGGTTTTCTGGCTGAAATGAAAGGCTTCTTTCTCAGTGTCTAGCCATGCTTGGTGTTCCTCCAAATTATCTTGTAGAGGTAGTATACATTGTGAAACTCTCAAAAGTCTTTCCTGACATCTTGGGATTTTAGGATGGCTTAAGGGAATGGTAGTGTCACTCTTGATTGATACACATTCCTGGAATCTCTCAGATTCATCTACCTGGGAGAGGGATGAAGAGGTGCCAGTCTGTTCAGAAGAAATCCTTTTCTCCAATTCACTTTCTGTGTGTACAAATTCCTGAGTTCCTTCTTTAGCACCAAGTATTACCCTTTGTATTTGTGACTGTTCTTGGAGTATTGTCAAATTTTCTTGCTGTGGCAGGCTATGCTGTGGAAAACTAAGAGACTTATCCTGAAATGTTGGGATTATCAAATGACTGGAGGGAACTACATTCTCCTTCTCAGATAAATAAAGCTCCTGAATTCTCCTAGGCTCAGCTTTAGCAGAAGCTTGTGAAGCAACTGAATGCTGAACAACCACTGGTGAGGATGAAGAGCTCACTGGCTCAGACTTACTGTCCCCCAAATCTCTTTGTCTATGTAAAAGTAATTCCACCTGAGCTTCATGCCTAGCCTGAAGAGTATCCCTCTGTTTAGTCAACTGTTCTTGGAGCAACTTCAAACTATCATGTAGAGGTAGGAACTGCTGTAGGAAACTCAAAGACCCATCCTGAGATTTGGGGATGTCAGACTGGCATGAAACAAGTCCTTTATCGCTCTTAGATGAATATTGCTCCTGTGTTTTTCGAGATTTCGTATCAGTAGATGGTAGTGAAGTAAATGTATGCTGAGCTACCTGAAATGGGAAAGAAGAGGGCTCAGCCTGTTCAGAACATACTCTTCCATCTAATTCACTCTGTTTATGTACACACAATACTTCCTGGGCTTCTCGCCTAGCCTGAAGGCTATCCTTCTGAATACTCAACTGCTCTTGGAGAAATTTAAAATTATTTTGCTGTGATAGGATAGGCTGTGAAAGACTCAAAAGCCTATCCTGAAGTTGTGAGATCACATGATGGTCTGAGGAAACTGCAGTATTATTCTTGGTTGGTGAAGATTCCTTCATTCTCCCCAAATCTGCTTTGGCAGAAGGCAATAAAGCAGATAAATCTGGAGTTACCAAGGGAAGGAATACCGAGAGGCCAGTTTGCTGTTCCAATTCTTTCTGTTTGCACAAAAGCAACTGTTCCTGAGCTTCCTGTCTTGCCTGAAGAACTTTCTTCTGTAGGTCTAACTGTTCTTGGAGGGCCCTCATATTACCTTGCTGGACTGTGATATTCTCTGAGGGTAGTAAAGGCCTATCATACATTTGATTGATTATAGAATGGCTTGTGGAAACTGTACTTTTGCTCATGGCTGAAAAGGGTTCTTGAATGTTTCCTGATTCAACTTTAACAGGCAGAGAACTAAAAGAATGCTGAGGTACCAGTGGTACAAATGAAGAACGTTCAGTTAGATGGGAAGATATATTTTCACTATTCTCTGAGAACAATTGTTGGGAATCTAAACTTTGAAAAGTTGTTGCCCTAAATGTTTCAGATATTTTTCTAGCATCCTGTGATATTAGCCGCCTGTCATGTGACAAAGCCCTTGAAAGTGTCTCAGAATTTTCGGGGACCAATTTATAGTCTCTCTGTTGTGTTTCAGTCTGAGAGAATCGCCTTAGATGTTCTTGTGATTCTAAAGACTGATTGGTTAAAGTATCTGAAGCTCCTGATGTTTCTGCTGTTTCCACCTGTCTTTGTGGAAGGTGATTTTGTTTCGCTACTTGAAAATGATCTTGTTCTAATTTGGAGGTCTGTACAGGTTGTATGGGTTGGTATTTGTCAGGACTCAACTTGAGTCTCTGACCTTGATCCCAATGCTCTGATATAGCAGTTGGTCTCTCAGATTTCCATGACGGCACTGATATGACAGAATCAGTTATCAGTGATGGAGCTGACATTGATGGGCACCTTCCTTTTAACATAGTTTGATATTCAAGTAATCGCTTCCTGGCTGTTTCAACAGACTGCCTGTGTAACCTAACAAAAACAAAAGCAATTATTCTTTTTTAATGAAAAACAAAAAGCCCCATATCTATACATTAAATTTAACAAACAGCAATCTGGGATTGGCAATACTCATGGTGAAAAGAAATTACACTCACACTGTCCTTTAAGAATGGCAGTTCTAAATGCCATAGTTCTAAGGAAATCCAAATTAGATCTTCATATAAATGAAATAATAAATTCCAAAAATTGTAGCCACATATGATCACATACAAATTATAACCTAGCTAATACCTGTTTTGTTGTAAAAGCTGATGTTGATAGTTACGAATCATCTGCCTATGACTATCTTCATCAGAAATTACAGCGCATGATGCTGGAACAATGCCAACCTAATAAAAGACAAAGTTACTAATTAAAAAGCAAATTTAGAAATAAGTATTGAGTTATTTTTTACATCCAGTTCTATAATTGTAAACTTCTATACAGCTTTATTTTTTACAAAATGACTGGCATTTCCATTAGTAAGAAATGAACTAATCTGTCATTCTCCTTTAGTGCAGGTCCAAAAGCTCAACGTACACATTACCTACAAACCATGTTCATATCTATTAATATCCTATAGAAACTGAAAGATGAAAGCCGTAACTGATGCAAATTTATTCATATATACATACATTATATTAAAAAAAGACCAAATAAGAATTATAAAGGCATTTTACTCTTATTATTATTATTATTTTTTGAGATGGAGTCTCGCAACCTCCACCTCCCAGGTTCAAGCGATTCTCCTGCCTCAGCCTCCGCAGTAGCTGGGATTACAGGCACGTGCCACCATGCCCAGCTAATTTTTGTATTTTTAGTAGAGATGGGGTTTCACCACATTGGCCAGGCTGCTCTCGAACTCCTGACCTGAAGTGATCTGCCCGTTTCGGCCTCCCAAAGTGCTGAGATTACAGGCATGAGCCACCACGCCTGACCATCCATTTTACTTTTCTTAAATGCTACAAGTGCTCATATTTTCTTGCCCCCCTCACCAAACGATTTATGTAGTGATGAGATTTTCTGCATCCTACCCCAGTCGGTTGAGTTTTTTTTCTTTTTTCTTCTTCCAGCTGAGCCCTGAAGCAGTCAGTTTCTAATCTTAATTTTTGCTGTTCAATTTGTTCAAGTAATTCCAATTGCTTTTGCTTCTGCTCTTCTATTTCCATTATCTAGGTAACAAAAATACTATTGATCTATTAACAACAAACTCATACAAAGGCAAAGCTAACACACATTCCATTTAAAAGAAATTAGGTTTCTTCACCAAGAGTACCAATTTTCAAAGAAGTAAGTGGTGATGCTTTATCTCTGTTGCTGTCACTGAATAGCTGTTGAACAGCTATTCTAAGTAGTTTTGAAGTTTTAGTAGAGACGGGGTTTCACCATGTTGGCCAGGCTGGTCTCAAACTCCTGACCTTGGGTGATCCACCCACCTAAGCCTCCCAAAGTGCTGGGATTCCTAAACTGGGGATGGGATTAAAAGATGGGAAATGGGAAAAAGGGATAGAAGTAAAAAAAGGCAGAAGGAAAAGAAAGAATAAATAAATAAACTATTTCTACTTTCTGAGCGCACAGGGAAACCGTGATCACCACTGAAGAACTACCCTGAAGTAGCAAATGATGTACAGCCAAATTCTATGTTCACACATTTAATAGTATAAATAATGAGTAAAGAAATTAAATATCAATGCCTCCTAAAATACTTTGATTTCTTAGCCATACTCATTAAGAGGTATAGCTATCTAGAAGCAATGAAAAACATTCTGTGTCTTTTTTGTCAGGCATGGAACAGAAGAAAATGGCAGGAAGATAACACATAAACTCTAATATTATACAAGCACACTCACACTCTAAGTAAGAACGTGTTTGAGTTCATGAGGACAAAACTAGCCTGCCAAATCCAGCACCTTAGTCTCCTCCTATCTGCAATTTAGCTTTTGTGGTTTAATTACTCAGGGTCAATAGCAGCCAGAAAATCTTAAACAGAAAATTCCAGAAATAATTCATGTTTTAAATTATGCACTATTCTAAGTAATGTGATGAAATCTTGTACTGTTCTGCTCTATACTGCTGAAAACATGAATAATCCCTTTGTACAGCATATCCATGCTGTAAACTGGACCAGGCCATTTGTTACTTAGCAGCCATCTTTGTTACAAAAACTTGCCTGTTGCAGCATCACAGTGCTTGTGTTCAAATAACCCTTATTTTACTTTGTAATGGCTCCAAAGCACAAGAGTAGTAATGCTGGCAATTTAGATATGTCAAAGAGAGGCTGCAAAGTGCTTCCTTTTAGTGAAAAGTTGAAAGTTCTCAATAAGGAAAGAAAAAGAATTATAAGCTGATTGTTAAGATCTATGGTAAGAGTAAATCTTCTATCAGTGGAATTATAAAGCAGGAAAAATAAATTCACCCATAGTATATACAGAAATCAAAAATCAATATTATCTGCAGTTTGGTACTATCAAGCATCCACGAGGGGTCTTGGAACATATACCCTGTAGATAAGCAGGGACCACTGTACAGTCCCTGACAGACAGATAAATATTTACTGAATAAGTAAAAAAAGGCATGCACGTTGTTTTATTACATACAGAACTAGAGATAATGAACAATGATCTTGTTTTCAAAATAAAAAACGTTTTGACTTGATTCTTTACCTATTCCTAGTTAGGCAACAGTGGCTTAAACTGAGTTCCTAGACAGCTCTTCTTCCTTACTCATAAGAACCCCTGAATTTAGATTGTTTACAGTTCTGTAGTACATCTATGACTGTACTATCCATACAGTGGTTACTAGCTTTATGTGACTACTTAAATTTAATTAAAATTAAATAAAACTTAAAATTCAGTTCCTCAGTTACACTAACAACATTTTGAGTATTCAACAGCTCATGGGGCTAACAGGTACATACTGGACATAGATACAGAACATTTCCATCATCACAGAAAGTGCTACTGTACAATACTGTTCTAGACTATTGACGAAAAAATTTTTTTTCTTTTTTTTTTTGAGATAATTTTGTCACCCAGGGTGAATGCAGTGGCACAATCTTGGCTGACTGCAACCTCCGCCTCTTGTGTTCAAGCGATTCTCCTACCTCAGCCTTCTGAGTAGCTGGAATTATAGGTGCGCACCACCACGCCCAGAGAATTTTTGTAGTTTTAGTAGAGACGGGGTTTCACCATGTTGGCCAGGCTGGTCTCAAACTCCTGACCTTGGGTGATTCACCCACCTAAGCCTCCCAAAGTACTGGGATGACAGGTATGAGCCACTGCGCCCGGCCTGAGAAAGTGTTTATCTGAGAAGAAATACTGGCTCATGGAATTATCATTCCCCAGCTGTATTTCTGAAAAAAACTAACTAGGACTATAAACTGGCTTGCTTAGTAATAATTAGCCTCCTTCAAGGTAAGTTGGGTTAAAAAATATTTTATTAAAAGTAGATGAGACCAAAATTATAAGCTAAGTAGATTTTTCTCTTTTTTTTTTGAGATGGAGTCTCACTCTGTCATCCAGGCTGAAGTGCAGTGGTGTGATCTTGACTCACTGCAACCTCCATCTCCTGGGTTCAAGCAATCCTCCCACCTTAGCCTCCCGGATAGCTGGGACTACAGATGTGTGTCACCACACCTGGCTGATTTTTGTATTCTTAGTAGAGACATGGTTTCACCATGTTGGCCAGGTTGGTCTCAAACTCCTGGGCTCAAGAGATCTGTCCACCTCAGCCTCCTAAAGTGCTGAGATTTCAGGCATGAGTCACCATGCCTGGCCTAAAGAGGTAAAAGTTTAGCTTGGGCAACACTGCAAGACCTCATCTCTACTAGGAAAAAAAAAAAAAATTAGCTGGCCATGGTGGCCCATACCTGTAGTCCTAGCTACTCAGGAGGCTGAGGTTAGAGGATAGAATTGAGGAGGTCAAGACTGCAGTGAGCCATGATCATGTCACTGTACTCCAGCCTGGGCGACGGAGCAAAAAAAGGGGGTTGTATATTAAAAGTTTTTCCTCTAAAGTATTATTTTTCAAAAAACTTGTGAGATTACAAAGCCCATCTGAGTGTCTAATATTATGACAAGGACTTGTTAATTCAACAATTATTTATTGTATACTTGCTATATACAAAGCATTGTATCAGAAACTGTGTAGGATAAACTGAATTTTTTTAAAGAAGATAGTCTCTGCTTTTTAAAAGCTAATAAATTTTATAGGGAAGATCTATACAAATCTATAAAATATAAAGCAGACAAAATAAGGGTTGAATGAGCAGTATGAGCAAAGACAACATGCATTTTATCAGCTAAATGTTTGTGTAAGACAATGTCAAAAACATGATATCAAAAGTAGCCAGACATCAAGACAAATTTCATTGGCCAAACAAAATTATATAATAGTACCTAGGGGAAAAAATAAACCTTTAAAAATAACATTTCAAATTACCTGTTTCCGTCTTGCTGACATTCTAATCCTGGCTGCTTCTTCTTGAGGATGAAGTAGGACTGAACTCTGAGCTACAGTTGTGATAGGCAGAGTCTCATTTATTTCTAGGGGAATGCCCCAAACAAAAATTAGTTTCAATAATTTAGAATTTTGACACCACTATAATGCCCTTTCTTAATATATCACATGTAATTTTATTTAAAACAAACAAACAAACAAACAAACAAAACACACAAGATGCCAGAAGTCTAATTTAATTTGAGGATGTGATAAAAAGAAATACCTTGTTCTTTAAACAAACAAACAAACAAAACACACAAGATGCCAGAAGTCTAATTTAATTTGAGGATGTGATAAAAAGAAATACCTTGTTCTTTTCCAGAGTTCGTACCACACGAAAGTGGTTTATCTTCACTGGCAAGTGGTCCAGACTCAATTGTTAGTGTATCACTTTCAACAACTGTAATAGATAATACCACTGTTATTATGAATATATCATCATTGTCAAACTTAAAGCAAAATAATAAAATTCTGGTATTAACAGATTCAATCTAGGGCCATCTGAATGTCTCATCTAGTTAAGATCCAGTCACCTTCCTGATGATCAGATACATTTCTCATTAAACCCAAACCTAAAAACAACAGGGATGAAAGACTGAAATTGCGAAAACGTGAAGAACTAATTTAAAAGATACGCTGATAAGGTTTCAAACACAGGAGAAAAGCATAAACAGAGTGGAAATAACAAGATATCAAAGTTAAAAAAGAGAAGCTAACAAAATGTCAATGTATCTTTGATATATTTGGATACTAGGTTTTTAAAAAATAATTTGTGAAACCAGAGCAGAGAAGGAAGTTAAAGCAATTTGTTTTGATCATAATTGGGTAGCCAGATACTCTGCATGGAGCTATCCCTTCGTTCACTCATTAATTCATTGGGCACCTACTTATGCGGCAGATGCTAGGGATACCACAGTGAATGAGAAAAGGCCTCAAGGAGGCTTTACAGAGTAGGTGGCAGAACCATCATATAATTATCCTAGAAAAAATTATAAAATTAGAAATTGTGGGCCGGGCGCAGTGGCTCACACCTGTAATCCTAGCACTTTGCGAGGCCGAGGTGGGTGGATCACGAGGTCAGGAGATTAAGACCATCCTGGCTAACACGGTGAAACCCCATCTCTACTAAAAATAGAAAAAATTAGCCGGGCGTGGTGGCGGGCGCCTGTAGTCCCAGCTACTCGGGAGGCTGAGGCAGGAGAATGGCGTAAACCCAGGAGGCGGAGCTTGCAGTGAGATTGCGCCACTGCACTCCAGCCTGGGCGACAGAGCAGATTCCGTCTCAAAAAAAAAAAAAAAAAAAAATTAGAAATTGTGATAAGTACTATATAAAAAGAGTGAAGGGTTATACAATAGAGTATAATAAATAATAGATTTCTGGGCAAGATGAAATTTCTCTGAGGAAAGGATATTTAAGCAGACACTTGAAAGGTAAGGAAGAACCAGCCAGGTAAACAATGTAAAGATGGATAGGAGATCTTTCCAGACAGACCAAAGGGTATAAAAGGCCCCATGAGGATAAAGAAACAAACCTTGGCCCATTCAAGGAACTGAGAGATTAGTGTGCATGGTTTTAGTGAGGCAAGGGGGGGAATAGAGCAAGATGAGAATGGTGAAAGCCTGCTCATATAGGCCCTTTATCTTTTTTGTTTGTTTGTTTCTTTTGAGACAGAGTCTCATTTTGCCGCCCAGACTGGAAGACAGTGGCGTGATCTGAAGCTCCATCTCTCAGGTTCACACCATTCTCCTGCCTCATGCTCCCGAGTAGCTGGGACTACAGGCGCCTGCCACCACGCCCGGCTCATTTTTTTTTTTTTTGTGAGATGGAATCTGGCTCTGTCTCCCAGGCTGGAGTAGTGGCGCGATCTCGGCTCACTGCAAGCTCCGCCTCCCGGGTTCACGCCATTATCCTGCCTCAGCTTCCCGAGTAGCTGGGACTACAGGCGCCCACCACCACCATGCCTGGCTAATTTTTTGTATTTTTAGTGGAGACGGGGTTTCACCGTGTTAGCCAGGATGGTCTCGATATCCTGACCTTGTGATCTGCCTGCCTGGGCCTCCCAAAGTGCTGGGAGTACAGGCATGAGCCATCGCGCCTGGCCAGGCCCTTTTATCAAAAGAACTTGGTCATGGATTGACTATGAGAGTCCCCTTTTTGGATTTCAACACCATATTCTCTCCTACTTCTCTGGCCACTCCTTTTACTGACTTTGCTATCTGCTCTTTCTCTAGCCATCTTCTAGATGTTGGAATCCCTCAGATGGTCTTACAAGCCCTCTTTTCACTAAATTATTTCCCCTCCAAGAGGTTTTCTACGCCTATGGCTTTAAATATCATATGTATGTCTAGATTCCAAATTTACCTCTCTTGCTTTAAATTATTCGATTAATTCAACAAATGTTAACTGAGCACCTATTTTGTACAAGGCAGCAGTCCAGACTCTGCGGACATAGCAATGTACAAAATCAAAGTTCCTATCCTTATGGATGGGTGGGGTAGGCATTAAGACAATAAGCAAAATAAGCAGCAAAGTCACTTTACTGGGCCCATCAGATATTGATAAGAGCTATGGGGGGAAAGCAGGGTAAACGGGACAGGAAGTGAAAGGTGTGGAGGTTGGGGTAGAGGTGGGGAGTAGTAGAAGTGTGCCATTTTATATAGTCAGAAAAGGCCTTATTGAGAAAGGGATAGTTGAGTAAACATGTGAAGGAAGTGAGGGAGTGAGTCAAGGAAATACCGGAGAAAAAGAGAAGTCTAGTCAAAAAGACTAGCAATTGCTAAGACCACGAGTCCTATGTTTGCTGTTTGAGAAACAGCGAGCAAGCTGGCATCTACAGTGTAGAAGATGGGGAGGGAGGTATGGCAGGCAAATGAAGTCAGAGAGGTAGTGAGTATGGGAGTAGTGGTGGTGGGGGTGTATGTATGCAGGTCATATAAGGCTTTGAAACCACTATAAACTCTCTGGTTTTTACTGAGTGAAACTGACAGTTATTGGAGGGCTTCATCCAAAGAAATGACATGAGATTACTTGCTTTTAAGAGGACCACTGTGTTAAGAGACGATAATAGGGAGGTGCAAAGGCTGACAATAGCAGGCTACTACAAGAATCTACCCCAGAAAATGAACATGGCTTAAACTAGGATGTAGGTGGAAAAAAATGGTTGGACTATGGATATATTTTGAGGGTAGGGCCAACTGGATCAGCTAATGGTTTGGACATAAGATATGAAAAGAGGGAACCAGAATGATTATAAGGTTTTTGGCTTGAGCAAGGGAATTAACATATTGCAGATACTGAAATGTGGAATACTGTAGGAAAAGCAGGTGTGTGGTGGGAGGGGATATCAACAGGTCACTTCTGAACAAATTTAAGATATTACTAGATAAACGAGAGAAGGAAACAGTTAAATAAGTAGGCGAGTTCAAACAGGAAGCCAAAAATAGAAATGCACACTTGGGAGACATCAGCATATAGATGATAATGTAAAGTGTGACATTTGAGATCAACTAGGGAGTTTTGATATAAAGAGAAGGGACTTGAGGAATGAGCTCTATACTAAGCATATCCACATGGAGATGTGGATAAACAGCAAAGAAAATGCAACAGAAAATAGTAAAGTAGGAAAACCAAGGGAAGGTACTGTCAAGGGGCCTAGGGAAGAAAATACTTCATGACTTCCTGTGGGACGCAGGATAAAATCCAAAACCCAAATATAGACCACAAGTCACTTTTCTCAAAAGCACAGAAGCAAAACATTTCTATACAAATCCAATCGCATTTTAAAAATAATCGCAATCAAGGAGATACTTGAATTATATGTGAACAGATACTTTATAACTTCTGGAAGTACAGTTAATAGCCTGTTTTTCCTATTAGAAAATTATTTAAAATTAGCAAATAAGAAACTAAGTATCTGGTGGGAATACAACATGCTCAAAAGCCATTAACATGTTCATATATCCTTTGATCAGGAGTTATTCTTTAAAGAGTCCTTCCTAAGGAAGGAAATAAAGATGTGGGCAAAGACTTCACTAAAAGGATCCCCGCTGTAGCACAAAAATGCCAAGAAAAATCAGAAAACGGCCTGAACATCTCAATAAGGAACTGGTTAATTTTGATTCATTGATCAGATTGGAATGAATATACATAAATAACAATACTAGATTAAAAGTGGTCTGAAAGAAGATTAAGGGTTTTATAATGTTTCTTTGTTGCTTTTAATTAGCAGGATTATGTTTTGTTCCTTTTAACTGCTATTTGATTTTTCAGAAATGAACCTACTTTTGAACAACTTAAAAGGGTTTATATAAAATGAGACTCTTAGAGAGAAATACCTTGTTCCTGCCCAGAGGATAATGTTCTCTCTTCACTGGCAATTGTTCCTGACTCAACCGTTGGTGCTTTACTCTCAATTTCACTAACAGTCGTAATCATTTCACTTTCATCCTCAGACATGGATTTAATTGTCCAGAGAGATTTTTGGCTTCGGATCTTATTTAATAATTTTTTAAAAAGAACTTTTGAAGGAATCTGTTGGGTCTTCATTACCAAGGGAACTAAAAGAAAGAAAAAAGGGAAAAAACTTATTTAGCATCTATTGTATTACCAGACAAATTGTTCCATCTTATATTTGGTCACTGCTATAACCACTAGTTAAAAGCACAATTTTATTTTCCTCGATATTTACAATTTAACAGTGTACATGACAATGCTATTTGACGCCAATCATTATAACCAGAAATAATTTTTCAAATGAAAATAGTAAAAGTGCCAAAATTCAGGTATTTTCCAGAAACACGTATGCAACACAAATTTCAAGCCTAAAAAACTTAACAGGAAGATGTTTATTTTGCTCGTTAAATAACTGAATAACTTCTAATTAATTTGCGGGTAAGATTAATATTGAAAATATATGCTGTGAGGTTCTATAGTCTACACTAGAAAACAGTCCCAAATATGGTTCTGTACTTCTTAGTGAGCTACAGAGGAAAACATCATAGCTATGAAAGCAAATCAACTGCTCCCAAATTATTCTTGGCACTATCTGGGAAAAATGTCCCCCACCCATCTTCATACAGAGATCCCTTCAGTTAAAAACAAAAACAAAAACAAAAAAACAACACAAGTATTTCTTCAAACATTTTCCCATGCGGGCTGATAGTTTAATGCCAAAACTCAGTATAATACGAACAGTTCTCTAAGAGGACAAAAGTGTGATGCAAGTATATATTTCTCTGGCTTAGTCAAGGAATAAAATTTAAGAATATCTTGAAGAGGTTGAAAATGGGCAGATTGTAGTTTTGTCTAACTTACACTAAAAAAAAAAATCCAGGCCGGACGCGGTGGCTCACGCCTGTAATCCCAGCACTTTGGGAGGCCGAGACGGGTGGATCACGAGGTCAGGAGATGGAGACTATCCTGGCTAACCTGGTGAAACCTCGTCTCTACTAAAAATACAAAAAAATTAGCCGGGCGTAGTGGCGAGCGCCTGTAGTCCCAGCTACTCGGGAGGCTGAGGCAGCAGAATGGCCTGAACCCGGGAGGCGGAGCTTGCAGTGAGCCGAGATCGCGCCACCACACTCCAGCCTGGGCGACTGAGCAAGACTCCGTCTCAAAAAAAAAAAGAAAAAAAAAAAATCCAATTGAGTTATAATTTACAAAGAACAAGGTGCACAAAACCTAAGTGTATAGCTTAATGAATTTTACATGTCGATGTAACACCTTTCAGATTATGTGTAACATTACCAGGACTAAGGTTCCTTCATGTCCCTTCCCAGTCAATACCCCCCTAAAAACTGCCACGACTTTAACCCCAAGATCACAGATTAGTTTTGCCTTTTTTTTAAAAACCTTCATATAAACATGGAATCATATATTTAGGTGTTATTTTCTGCCTGGCTTCTTTCATTTACCATTACTCCACATCCCACTCGTTTTTAAGAAGTAAATTCATTGCTCATATTTAAAAGTAAGGATTTTTAAAAACAATGAGATTCCTAACTTCAAACAAACAACTTGGCAACACCAAGTCAATAAGACCAAATAAGATCAGCAGGAGCTAAAGTGTAACTGTCCCTTTAGATTAGGCAAGACTTCCATTGTGACAAACTAGATATTGAATGATACTCCCAATGGAAATAACTGAAAAAGTTGCATAAAAGAGTAAAAACATCTTCTTTTTTAGATGGAGTTTCACTCTTGTTGCCCAGGCTGGAATGCAGTGGTGCGATCTCGGCTCACTGCAGCCTCTGTCTCCCAGGTTCAAGCGATTCTCCTGCCTCAGCCTCCTGTGTAGCTGGGATTACAGGTGAGTGCCACTACACCCAGCTAACTTTTGTATTTTTGGTAGAGACAGGGTTTCACCATGTTGGCCATGTGGTCTTGAACACCTGAACTCAAATAATCCTCCCACCTCGGCCTCCCAAAGTGCTGGGATTACAGGTGTGAGTCACTGCGCATGGCCGTAAGAATATCTTTTTAAAGACACTGCTGGCTGGGTGCAGTGGCTCACATCTGTAATCCCAGCACTTTGGGAAGCAGAGGCGGGCAGATCATGAGGTCAGGAGTTCGACACTAGCCTGGGCCAACATAATGAAACCCCGTCTCTGCTAAAAATACAAAAATTAGCCAGGCAAGGTGATGTGTGGCTGTAGTCCCAGCTACTCGGGAGGCTGAGACAGGAGAATCGCTTGAACCCGGGAGGTGGAGGTTGTGGTGAGCCAAGATCGTGCCATTGCACTCCAGCCTGGGGCAACGGAGCAAGACTGTCTCAAAACAAACAAACAAAAGACACTGCTGACCTAGCATGAAAAGAAAAGGTTCTGCAGCGGACAGAAATGAAATTTAAGTGGAAAGCTTGGAGGGAAGGCAAGTCAGTCCTGAAAACCATCTTCTGCCAAACTTACGCCAAAGTCAAAACACAGTAACCTTAAGCTGCTGCTGCTTTTTTTCCCCCCAGTTGCTGGTAGTAACCTTAGGCTTCTGTTTGGACAACAATGTAGGCATAGGAGACATGAATAAGGCCTAGAGCCCTTACTTGAGGAGTCTAATGGGAGGCCTACATTAAGTTGGAATCCCAAAAGGCTATGTTCAGGGTATAGGGCGAAGACGATAAGAAACCCTGAGTGGTTTTAAACAAAGGCAATACCACTAGATATGGGGCAAAAATAGCTTAAATCCGTGAAGAGGACTTGGTCTTTAAGGAGACATGCAGGTAAAAGGAAAGTGTTAAAGGTAACTCCCAGTGGTCTGGCTTGGGTAACTACAGACTGTGATACCATTCACTAAGATAGAAAAGATAGGTAGAGACTGTTTCAGTAGGCAAGAGAAGATCATAAATTTATTGCTCGACATGGAGTTTTAACTATGGGATGGTCAAGTAAAAAAGTTCAGAATGTTGGAGATAGAGATGTTTGAGAGATCAAAATTTGTGCTATCCATCATTACACACAAAGTACCTAGAAATAACTGAATACCAGTAGGATCTCTGATGATCTGACAAGTCTGTGCTGACCTTTGTTGTGCTGAATCTCTACTCACTCAAATGGGGATGGCACCAGATTCAAGAGGCCAAATAAGAGATCCAGAGCTAGTCAATGAGATACGGGGTTTCACTGAGGGCATACATACAAAGGGGAGTCCAGTGGCAGCAGGCTGGACAGAAGAACTGCAACTGCTTGCAAAAAGCATGCCGTTTAAATAGCACTGTCACTTAGTACCCTTTTCCTAATGACCTCCACCTGACGACTTTCATTCAACCCAAAACTTGATACCTTGATCCTCTGTGTGGCTCATGTTCCATAGGATGGGACAGGGGCTCAGGCATTCCTCATAGACAAGAAAGAATCTCCAGGTTGGCTATTCCCAGATTCCCTAGCTTAGAACACACATTCAGGTGTGTATGCCACACAGGGTCATTCTCAGGATATGCTGAAGTTATTGCTATCAGGTATGTTTACCATACAATCTTTCAAATGAATTCAGAATTGAGCACCTAACTCAAATAACCTGAAAATCTTCAGATCATCTGTATGTCTGAATAAACTTTCCTCCTACACATATGAAAAAGGATCATCAGTGATGGATATATAAAAACATTATTTCCTTTAGCTACCGATCCCATCAGTATTACTCATTGCTTGCACTTAAATCAGACCAGATTTTCCTAACTGCTGGCTAATGGTTAGCATTTCTTTTCCTGTGAAATATTGTAATATTTAGCTCAGAAGGGTTTTTACCATCTGTTTCACTAGAACATATTATTTCAGCTTCTGTCACTGGAAGGTCTTCAGCTGCACCCAAATTTTCTTGTTCCATTGAAAGGTTCAGCTCTTCATCTTGAATCTGATCAGTCACAGTGGGCAAGGGCTCTGGTTCAAGGTGCAGAATCAGATTCCCTTTCACCTCTTAAAAAAGAAAAATAGAGACATGTTTCCATTCCAAAATGATTAAAAATAACTGGATCACAAAAATGCAAAGGTCACAGTAATGTCTCAATCTAAACTATGGGGGGCCTCCTTCAAATTGAGAACTCATTTCAAGATAAAAACTGCTTTATCATTACAAACATATTTTCCCACCAAAACGTTAAAACCACTACTGAAAGCCCTACTGACAATATCTTACTCCTGTCTGCATTGTACATATCTTCAAAGGCAAATTCCAATTCTCTCTGCCAGTCTTCTTTCATTTCACTGCGTTTGTATGGAAGTTCAACTAGTTGTGGTGGCATTTGTGCTACAGTCTGTCTCCTACGTGCCAGGTCCTCTTGCTGTAGCTGTTTGAGTTCTTTCATTAGTTTCTCCTGATTCTTCAAGAATAAAGAGAATTAACAAAAACTGAGTCACAAACTTTGTATGGTAATATTAACAGTGTTGCAGGTAGGGGAAATGAGGATCAGGGTCTAAGCTTCTCTCCTCTCCTCTATTATTTGTTCAGCCAAAAGACAGACATTTACTCATTCAACAATTATTTCCTGAATACCAGATACCACATTAAGTGCTAGGGACACAATCTCAACCCTACCCTAGTTCCCTAGTAGTAAGACCAACAAACAAGTAGTATTATGTTATAAGTACTCTGAAAAAGTGGTACTGGTTAGGCCATTAGCTGCGAAAAGTGTCTGCCAGCTACAGTTTTCCATTCTGAGGAAAGTCATGAAGTTAATTTCTATATAAGTTACCATGGCTCTCGTGATGTATTTTGTTCCAGTTCTCCATATACCTATCTGAGGTAAGCACCAAGACCCAGAGTTGACTGTGGCTTAACATAGAATATTTCTTGTTACCTCACATTCTTATGAATTTCCATTATTAAAGGAGAGCTGAATATATTTCTTTAAGCTTAAAGAGTATGGCTAATATGAAAGTTTAATCAGTGTTTTAGTGAGGTTATCTAATGGAATTTTGGTGGTAGAAGGAAGGAGAACAAGGCAAGAATTCTCATTCCTTGCGATAAGGATTTAGCCAGACAAAAGTGGGTGAAAGACAATGAGTCCATGTAAGAAAAAACTGTAGCAAAACAGTATGGAGACGAAGGCATGGGATATTCAGAAAACAGTACACTGTTCACTATAGCTAGGGTATGTAAGGCAAGGATGATTAGGGAAAGAAGATAAAACTGGAGAAGCAGGTAGAAGTCAAATATTAGTTAATATAGACACTAGAAGGAAATAAGGTCCCAGGCCACAATACAGTATGCAGCAAAAAGGTTCAGATAGGAAAAATGAAATCCTCTATTAGCAGTGAGATTGCATGGTTTTTAAACAACCTTCTTATATAAGGAACATTAAGTCTACTATAACATAGAGAAATCCTGCATTCAAAAAGTGGTAATGGGCCGGGCACAGTGCCTCATGCCTGTAATCCCAACACTCTGGGAGGCCGAGGCAGGCAGATCACCTGAGGTCAGGAGTTTGATAACAGCCTGGCCAATATGGCGAAATCCCGTCTCTACTAAAAATACAAAAATTAGCCAGGCGTGATGGCACGTGCCTTAAATACCAGCTACTTGGGAGACTGGGGCGGGAGAATCGCTTGAACCTGTGAGGCAGAGGTTGCAGTGGGCCGAGATTGTGCCACTGAACTCCACTCTGGGCAACAGAGTGAGACTCTTTATTAAAAAATAAATAAAAATAAATTAAAAAGTGATAACATATATACATTACTTATTCTTTTCTAAAGTTTTAACTATTTTGTCTTTTGAGGATGAATTTTTTTGCCATGCCCTGAAAAAGAATAAAATTATAAATGAACTTATTTCATTTGTACTAAGATTCTAATTATCTAAAGTTATTTCAGTAAGTATACTATTTTAGCTCACTGCAAGCTAGCATATTTTTTTTGGATTATTTATAACAATGACCCCTACCACTAACATTTACTGAGCTTATGAAATTCCAGGTACATTTCTAAAGGCTTTACTAAACTCATTTAATCCTCACAAAACAGATGATCAGGAGAGGTGTGGCAGGGGAGGTTAAAAAACAAAAAACAAAAAAAATCCAGCCAGGCTTGGTGGTCCACACCTGTAATCCCAGCACTTTGGGAGGCCAAGGCAGGCATATCATTTGAGGTCAGGAGTTCCAGCCTGACCAACATGGTGAAACCTTATCTCTACTAAAAATACAAAAAAATTGGGCCGGGCACAGTGGCTCATGTCTGTAATCCCAGCAATTTGGGAGGCTGGGGAGGCGGATCATGAGGTCAGGAGATAGAGACCATCCCTGGCTAAGATGGTGAAACTCCATCTCTACTAAAAATCCAAAAATTAGTCAAGTGTGGTGGCATGTACCTGTAGTCCCAGCTACTCGGGAGGCCAAGGCAGGAGAATCGCTTGACCCCGGGAGGTGGAGGTTGCAGTGAGCCAAGATCATACCACCGCACTCCAGCCTGGGAGGCAGAGCAAGACTCTGTCTCAAAAAAAGAAATTAGCTGTGTGTGGTGTCGCGTGCCTGTAGTCCCAGCTACTCAGGAGGCTGAGGCGGGAGAATTGCTAGAATCTGGAAGGAGGAGGTTGCAGTGAGCCAAGATCCCGCCACTGCACTCCAGCCTGGGTGACAGAGTGAGACTCCATCTAAAAAAAAACACATGAAACAGAACTCAGAGAGTTTAACTAATCTGCCTGAGATCAAACAGCTGACTGGTGAAGGAGAGAGATAAATCCTGGCAGAATGACTGTGGAGCCCACTTGCTTAACTACTAAACACTACTGCTTTTATGGAAGAATCTGTTCAATTTATGACTGCTTTTTGTGTCTGTTTTACTATAGGTTTAAACCTTAGATGGGGAGAATTACTGATAATAATTCAGACATTCAGTTATTTTGATCATAATTCACTCCTAGTTTATAAAAGCTAAAAATTTAAGGGAGAAGCTCATGATTTAGTTCAAACTATAAAAATAAACTTTCATAAGAAAATTTAATTTCCAAAGCATTTTTAAGAAGTACTTAAAAACTTATTCCTAAGATGGGTATTTAAAACATCCAAATGCATTAGTCAAATTCAGAAAATAAAATCAGACTTCTAATAAGATGAATCATTTTTATGCAATCCTCCCACCTCAGCCTTCTCGGGAAATGAGGTGCCAGGCTACAATACAGTCCCAAATTGGGACTGACTGTATTGACTCTGTAGTCCCAGGTCACCATGCCTGGCTAATTTTTGGATTTTTGGTAAAGACAGGGTTTCGCCTTGTTGCCCAGCCTGGTCTTGAACTCCTAGGCTCAAGCGCTTTCGCCTCCCAAAATGTTGGGATGACAGGCATGAGCTACCTTGACTGGACTTGACAGTCACTTCTTAAATTTTTTTTGAGACAGGGTCTCACTCTGTGGCCCAGGCTGGCGTCCAGTGGTGTGGTGTGATCTCAGCTCAAAGCAATCTCCTTGTCCCGGGCTCAGGTGATCCTCCCCCAACCTTGGCCTCCCGAGTAGCTGGGACCACAGCCGCACACCACCACGCCTGGCTTATTTTTCTGTTTTAAGTAGAGACGGGGTTTCTCCATGTTGCCCAAGCTGGTCTTAAACTTCTGGGCCTACACGATCCGCCTGGCTTGACATCCCATAGTGCTGAGATTACAGGCATGAGCTACCATGCGTGGCCTATGGTCACTTTTTAAAAGCTGCGGTAGCAAGGATCATGACTTTATTTTTGAAACAACATTCTACAAAACCAGAAAGTGCCTTGCTCAATGCATATTTAATGAACTGAATCCTCAAATTTATAGAGCACATATGCTACTTAAATAATTAAATTAGGAAAGTGATTTTTTTCCCAGGTTGTTTTTGGACATATTGAAATATTAAAGTTTTAATAAATTCATTAGTAAAATTTTTAGAACAGCAATACACTGGGAGAATAGCTTAACCCAATCAGAACTTGAAATGGGAGGGCAAAGAAAGTTGGGAAACTTGAAATTATATGAATCAGAGACTATATTGAACACCCACCCTTCCCACCTTTCTTTGAGCTCATTCACTAATCAGTCCTGCAATGCTATTAGTAAGTCCATCAGTAATGGTCACGGGTAGAATTTAAGTCTTACTTGAGCCAAATGGATCTTCTTCATCGCTTGGAATCCCCGTACATGTGCCTTTTCAAACCGTTCCATTCTCTCTTGTGCTGCCTGTTTTTGTAGCTCTTCCAATCGTTTAGCTTCCTCTTCAGCAGCCAAATGAGCATCTGGCTAGCAGTCATTAAAAAATTTTAGGCAAAAGTTTTAAAGTGTGAGACAAGCAATAACTAAAAAACAAAACAACCTTGAAATCATGTTTTCTACATATATAAAATTAAATATAAGAAGAGTTATATTTTAAAATGTCCACAATTATCAACGGCATGTATCTATGAAAGTGATCAAATTATTAGTATAAAGTTTTATGAGTTACTCATTTTAAACCAGATTAGGTTATACTCCTCCAAACATATTTCTCCATCACTTTGTAAGAAAAGAAATCTCTTGCTGGGCGTGGTGGCTCATGCCTGTGATTCCAGCACTTTGGGAGGCTGAGGTGGGCGGATCACCTGAGGTCAGACTGTCCAACACGGTGAAACTCTGTCTCTACTAAAAATAGAAAAATTAGCCAGGCATGGTGGTTGGGCACCTAAAATCCCAGCTACTCAGGAGGCTGAGGCAGGAGAATTGCTTGAGCTCGGGAGGCAGAGGTTGCAGTAAGCTAAGATTGTACCACTGCACTCCAGCCTGGGCGACAGGACAAGACTCCGTCTCAAACATAAAAAAAAAAAGAAAACCTCAGGCCGGGCTTGGTGGCTCAAGCCTGTAATCTCAGCACTTTGGGAGGCCGAGACGGGTGGATCACGTGGTCAGGAGATCGAGACCATCCTGGCTAACACGGTGAAACCCCGTCTCTACTAAAAAATACAAAAAACTAGCCGGGCGAGGTGGCGGGCGCCTGTAGTCCCAGCTACTCGGGAGGCTGAGGCAGGAGAATGGCGTGAACCCGGGAGGCGGAGCTTGCAGTGAGCTGAGATCCGGCCACTGCACTCTAGCCTGGGCGACAGAGCGAGACTCCGTCTCAAAAAATAAAAAAATAAAAATAAAAAGTAAAAAAAAAAAAGGAAACCTCATTAAAATGACAGTATTGAAAGGTAAATACCCATAAATCTCATTAACATAAATAACACAAAAAAGAGAAAGGGGCACAGAGTCTGGATTTATTTTTTTTTTTTTTTAAGAGATGAGGTCTTGCTATGTTCACCAGGCTGGTCTCAAGCAATCCTCCCATCTCGGCCTCCAAAAGTGCTGAGATTACAGGAGTAAGCTACCACATCCATCCTGGATTTACTTTTATTATCTGAATATTCACTTTCAAGTATAGGTAAATATTCTAAATGTAACCAGCAGTAAAAGTCTTTTTCTGTCTTTTGTATGTTGAAATTCTGCCAGCCAGTTGCAACAATTAATGACGACCAAGAAAGCTGTTAACTTCAAGTGTAAGATTATTAAAAATTCTCAAATGGTGAGATAAATAGGTAAAGAGATTGACGGTTAATAAATTAACAAGGAGTACACTGGCCAAACAAATTTATCAAAAATATATCCTCTTTGAGCCACTAAATATTCATGCAAAACTAAATAACATCAGGCAAGACAAAAAAAGTTAGATTAAATCAAAATTATAATCTCTAGAAGTATTTAGTATATCAATATGTATATTAAATAAAATAACCTCTGAGAACAATATTTCAATCCATTTCAGCCATGAGGTTTTCAAGAAAAAAGTTGTTTATGAATTCTTCACATCTCTTGAAGATAAATTAAAAGCAGTATGTGAATTTTGGTAAACCAAAATTTTAAAGAAAGGAAAAATTTCAAAATAGCATACAACATGAATGATAAATATCAGCCCAGATATAAAAAGTCATATAAAGGATATGAATAAAGGGTCAGAGAAAAAGTTAGGGACCACAAACAAATTTTGTTCTTATTGATTATACTTCAAAACAAGATTTGTAATACAGCTTTAGGAAGACAATCCCCTATAGATTTGTGTCAATGTAATTAAAAACATAACCATAAATCTGGTTGAAATAATGTTAGATTCTATTTTCAGTATTTGAAGATCAAAGATATATGAATGATAAATGCTATTGACAAATACATTTCTGCATTTTGCACATCAGATATTTGGACACAAATCTTTTTAGATACAATAGAGCATGGAAAATCGATGATGAATTTAACTGATTCAGCTGCACTTTTCTGCAGACATTTCTGGGTCTCACCACAAACAATATAGTGAATCTGACTCAAGAAATATTTTCAGAATGCAAAATTCATTTGAAAAAAGTGCTATGTAACTGTCACTGACAAAGAATAGACATGATGAAGGCTATGAATAAGTAATGTAGGACTTTTAAGCATATGATGTTTTGTTTAGTTGTGTGTAGAGGTAGCGAATGTAACAAAACAAAATGTAGACAACTACTGGCTGTAAGTAGGACTACAGCAGGTCACTTTCATAATTCTTCTTTAGCCAAAGATATATATTATGACATACAAGAGATTTTGGAATTACTTTATCAGGATGTTAAAAACACACACACACAGGACAAGATTCCATCTCAAACATAAAAAAAAGGAAACCTCAGGCCGGGCGTGGTGGCTCAAGCCTGTAATCCCAGCACACACACACACAATAGCAGCTCTTATGTGCTAAAAAGTCTGACTGAACAAATGAAAGTTTGTTTGCAGAAAGCTGCTAAAGAAAAATACCCAAACATATATGCCAAGAGTGCAAATATTTTTTATATGATACCTGCTATAAAGATCATATCGTTCTCCTCCAGGGAAGATGCTAAAATTATTGTGCATGTGAGCTGAGTGCAGATGAAAATTGAGGTAATTTTATCTTGAAAGCCAAACACATTAATCATCACATTTTAAATCCAAGGTTTAAGGACAGATTTTTCCTAAGTGATGGAGTAAAGCAGCAAATAAAAGAAAATACTTGAATAAGAAGGTGTACAGTAATAAATCTATTTCTGGAAATATTCAGAAATCATATCTCTAAACTACACAAAGCTTTAGTTTGTGGGACCACTTTCATAAAACTGTTAGAAATAAAATTTGTTTGTGGTCCCTAACTTTTTTCTAACCCTTTACCATTGTAACTACTGATCTAATTTTTAAGTCCAAAAATTGAAAAGGAGGTAGGTCTTCTAGTTACTATCAAAAAAGAAAGCTTATGGATATTAATTTAATACCAGCAGCACCCTATGCTGATGGAGTTAGGTAAAAAAAAATTCATCATCAATCTTAGTTAAAAGGTAACATCTTTTTAATATGACAAAATGCAGTGAATAGTAAAGCATTTAGCAACAAATTGAAGTTATTGTTCCTACATTATGTTGAAAATGAAATAATACTTTACAATTTTAAATAAATCTCAGATTTACTCTTGCATCTTAGAAGTTCATTCTGTGATATTCATTTTAGTTCTTAACTGAATATTAATACCTGCTATTAAGCAGTCAACCAAAATGTGTATTTGTTGCATTCTAAATGCCACAGGAATGCTATAAAATTTATTTTCCCAGCAGCCAAATATATTCAACATGAAAAAAATTAAAACCCCCATTGACACAGAGAAATAGCAATTATAATAACAATATATCATTTGTTACTCTTAAGACTGGCAATAATTTTTAAAACACAATATTCCGTGCAGACAAGGTTATGGTAAGGTGGCCATTCTCCTATGTTGTTGATGCTTTTAAAAAGCAATTTAATGATCTGTATCAAATGTTACACAGTTTGGAGCCAATACTTTCTCTTTTAGGAATTTATATATAATCAGAGATGTGGATAAAAATGTGCAAGATAATGATTACTTACAGAAGCAAAAAATAATGATTAAATAAATGGTACGATGAAATATTAAGTGGCTACTAAAAATCATGTTTTGAAAAGTGTATATATGTTTATATTTAAATAAAAGTTATAATGAATTTATTAAAACATTAACCATATTCCACTTTGATGACAGAACTGGTGTTTTCCCAATAGTTTACACTTATGTGTATAGTTTCAAATTTTTCACAAATAGCATGTAATATTTTATGATTAAAAAAAGCTTTAAAATCTGTTATTTTAAAATATAACCATTTAAATAGCCAACTAGTTTCTTTAATTCATATTAAACCATCATATGCCTGACATAAAAATTCAAAGCATTTAAAAGGTTTTTGATTATTATTACCAATTGTACAAATTTTGAAATCTGGGAACACCATAATATAATTAAGATACAATTCAATTCAATGCACACAGAAATAATAAATCGAGGGCATGAAGAAACAATAAGTCAATCACCTGTTTTGTGTCTGTCTCTCTACTCACAAAAGTGTGAAGATGGTGGTAGGTAGAACTATTGGTTTTGACTGCAGAAATTCTTTTTACTTCAATGTTCTGGAAACAAGAACATAAAAAAATAGGTTAAAAGCATTAATTTTCACTTAAAGCTGAATCCAATGCAAAAAAAGTTATTTTGTATTTTATTGAGTTCTCCGCATCCAAAACATGCTAAAATCTGCTCATAATGAAATCAAATTTTTAGTTAAATTACTTCAAATTTTAATAAAAGTACCAGACTCATCAGTATTTCAAATCATCTTCAAGGCGTCGCTAACTAATCAATGTGCTTTATTCATCTCAATTTTTAAGTTATTTATAGAGAAATTTCATCTTTAAATCTCCTGAATATAGAAGGGCTTATAGGCCATCAAGTGAAATGAAAATCATTTCATTACATTTATAAGAAAACAACATGCCTCATTATGTCCTTTTCCATATCTAATCACAAAAATTCTACTGTAGTTCACACCAGTCTTATTTTCTCAATGTTTAATGATGTATTTTGAGTTTTGTTCCTGAAACACTTGCCAATATATTTAAATTACACTTATTCCAGAACAAAACAACTCTCAGAAGAATGACAGTAAACTACCTTCCCCATTCTCTTTCCTGTATTTTGTAGTAAAGGCAGATTCAACCCATCACAACCTATCACACACTGATGTTAATTAATTAACTGAACTGACAATATTAAGTGCCTACTATGTGTTAAACATTACACAAGGCATTGTGAACGACAATGAGAAGTAAAATAAAAGAATGGCTGCTGGCTTCAAAGAGCTCACAGTAACAGTTCTAACAACTAGAAGTTCTAACAATTACACATAAGTTAAATAATAAACCATGCATTTTACAGATAACATGATGAAAACAATATCCAGAAAGAAATGCTAACACTTCTGCTGGATGTCTTCTGTATTATATCCTAGTAGTGAAAAGTTAGCAAAGTCCCTCAACTTTTCTGTCCCTCAGCTTCCTTAAGAAAAGTGGATTTATAGCTATTGCTATACCATATGATCATTGTGACAATTACTGTGAGAATCAATTAATGTATAAAAAGCATTTTTAATTTTTTTAAGGCCTGTTGACAAGGCCAGAGTACAGAGGCATGACCACAGCTCACTGCAACTCCTGGGCTCAAGTGATCCTTATGCTTCAGCCTAACATAGCTAGGACTACAGGCATGTACCATCATGCCTGGCTAATTCAATGACATCACGAATGCAACCCAGGTTGGGAGGGAGAAAAGTTTAAATAAGAATAGGTTCAGAATTAACCAGTTTTAGCTATAACATATATGAATGTGGAATGATGAGGAGGACTCAAGTGAAAAGAAACAATATAAAAGACAAGAAGGGGCTGGGCGCGGTGGCTCACACCTGTAATCCCAGGACTTTGGGAGGCCGAGGCAGGTGGATCACTTGAGGTCAGGAGTTTAAGACCAGCCTAGCCAACATGGTAAAACTCCATTTCTACTAAAAATACAAAAATTAGCCAGGCATGGTAGCACACACCTGTAATCCCTGCTGCTAGGGAGGCTGAGGCAAGATAACTGCTTGAACCAGGGGTCAGAGGCTGCAATGATGCAAAATGAGCCAAAAGTGTGCCAAGTGTGCCACTGCACTCCAACCTGGGTGACAGAGCAAGACTCTGTCTCAAAACAAACAAACAAACAAAAAACAAACAAACAAAAAAAACAAAGAAGGGGGGATTAAGAAAATCCAAGTAAAAGTGAACAGGCTAATGTAAGCAGAATTATTTGAGTAGTTTTTAAGAACTTTTTTCTTATCTGAGAAACTTTCTCTTATCTGAGAACTTATTTCTTACCTGAGTAGCTTTTAACAAGTTTTTAAGAACAGAGCCCAGTATTAGCGCTGTTAAAAAGCTGTGGCCAGGCGTTGTGGCTCACACCTGTAATCCCAGCACCTTGGGAGGCCAAGGCAGGCAGATCACTTGATGTCAGGAGTTTGAGACCAGCCTGGTCAACATGGAGAAACCCCTTTTCTACTAGAAATCAACAATTAGCCGGGCATGGTAGCACACACTTATAATCCCAGCTACTTGGGAGGCTGAGGCAGGAGAATCACTTGAACCCAGGAGGCAAAGGTTGCAGTGAGCTGATCTTACACCACTGCACTCCAGCCTGGGTGACAGAGTATGACTCTGTCTCAAAAAATAAAAAATTAAAAAAAGCTGCACAGGTGATAAATGTACAGCCAAAGTTGAGAATTACCTAGACCAGTCAGAAGATAACTAATTGGCAAGTACCTGGAAATACATCCAGATATGTACAACAGAGGACCTTATTCAGGGTCTTATCATTCAGGTAAAGAATTAAACTGACCACTAATGAAAACATTAACTAGCATATATATACACATATACATATATATATTTGAGACAGGGTCTTGCTATGTTTCCCAGGCTGGTCTTGAACTCCTGGGCTCAAGGAATCCTCCCACCTCAGCCTCCTAAGTAGCTGGGATTAAAGGCAGGTGCCACCACACCCAACTTTAACTAGTTAATATTAAAGTTCAGTAAGAAACTGGTCACAAAACAAAAATTCAGAGATGGTAGTACACATGAGAATGCTTCACTCTACAAAGAATCTTAGTAGCTGTTAAATCAATGCCTTGAAAAAAATAAACCATAGGACTCTTGACAAGGAAGAACTCTGAAGAAAACAAGTCTCTAAAATTATGTAATTTGATATACAAATGTGATTCAGTTTACATATTTTAAAGCACCAGTACTTCCAGAGTAAAGGCAATTATGTATAGATTGAATTTGGAATCCTCCCAAAATTGGGATCACAATTTGAGATTTTGATTACTATGAATCCTTATTGATTATAACAGGATTTCCAATGAATTGCACCTAAGTTTTTAGTGAAATCAGTCCTTAGCCTGGCAGAATTAGGATGATCTGTTAATAATTTAATCACTCAATTTACTTCCCGTGTTCTATCTTCCAGCCTTAGTTTTGCTCCACACTAACTATTTCTAGCTTTATCTACCCAAGTACAGGACAAAACCAGCTTTCTACTCTGGAGTAGCTGACACTGGCTCATGCAGCAATGGAAAACAAGAAAAAAAAATGCCAGGCACTGTGGCACATGCCTGTAGTCACAGCTACTCAGGAAGCAGAAGCAGGAGGATTGCTTTAGCTCAGGAGTTCAAGGCTGCAGTGAGCTATGATGGTGCTGGTGAAGAGTCACTGCACTCTAGCCTGGGAAACACAGTGAGATCCTGTCTCAAACAACAACAACAAAAAAGGTATAAGCAAGGGAAGAATAAAACAAAGCTCATTTTTCTCTTGCATCTGGTATAGATATATGAGAAGTCTTCACAGCATCTCAGGGTTTTCAATATGAATTTCATTATTTAACAGACCTATGAAAAGACTGTGGTTGTTTACATTTCTAGACTTTAGTACATAAGTAGTTAACTTTAACAGCAAGAACTCTGAAGAAGTATATTCATGGGAAGCTAAGTGTCGCAGTAAAAAGATCATGAGTTTTATAGAATTTAACGTTGACATAAACTCTGGTTCTCGCACTTACCTATTAAAGGACTTTGGTTACGTTACTTAAACTCTGACCTTCAATTTCCATCATTTGTTACATGGAAATATCTAACATGCAGGGCTAATGTGATTAAATTACATACGAATAAAAAAAACCTGACATAACTAAAATCTTAGGTACACAAGAAGTATCAATTCTCTTCACCATATAAACAGCTCCCTCAAAAAATAATATTTTCTTAAATTAACTAAGGAAAGACCTTGGTTTGAGAAGACTAAATAGTCTAGGTTTATTTCCTCAGGCTTCTCAGCATTTATATTTTTATCTGCTTGAAGAAACAGTGATACAGATGCATCTATATCCTGTGTATGTGACACAGTGTTCTTATATGGTGCATTTCCCTGGCCCCCAAATACCCCACAACCTAGTTTTTCCCAAACCACAATCCTGTCCCTCCCTTCTATGTGATAAATTCACAACCATCTCAAGACATTCAGAAACACTACCTTATCCCAAACACCTTTATTGGCTTGGCTAATGGATTTTTCTAAAATAATGCCTTTTAGTGAAACAAGAATGCAGTCACCCAGATCTTATTTATAAGTACCATTTCTCCACTAAAAAGAATCAGGGGTCTTTGGAGATACCAGATACGGGACACAGTAAATTAAGCCAGAGTAAATTAAGGTCATTTGCTGAGCCATTTGCAAGGAAATGCTCATGGAGTCACGGGGATGCAAGAAACAACTTCAAGACTCTCCTGCTGACCAAATTTCAGATATTACAAACATCAGTGAGAAGAAAAAGAATAATGACTACAATTGAACTATGTAATATTGAGTAAAAAACCTCCACAAGTTAACAGTGATAGTCACAAAAGAGAAAGGGAAAAAAAAACCCATTTACCACCAATGGCATTGACTATTACACCAACTCTTCACTCTGAAAACTGGCAGACGGAAAAATGAGGAATATGTCCTGTTTTCTTAAAAGGAACTAGGCTGGGTGCAGTGGCTCACACTTGTAATCCTAGCACTTTGGAAGGCCGAGGTGGGTGAATCATCTGAGGTCAGGAGTTCAAGGCCAGCCTGGCCAACATGGTGAAACCTCGTCTCTACTAAAAACACAAAAATTAGCTGGGCATGGTGGTGGGTGCCTATAATCCCAGCTACCTAGGAGGCTGAGGCAGGAGAATCGCTGGAACCCGGGAGGTGGAGGCTGCAGTGAGCCAAGATTGCACCACTGCATTCCAGCCTGGGTGACAGAGTGAGACTCTGTCTCAAAAGAAAAAAAGAACTAAATAGTTCATGCCCACTGATATAACTCATGCTTGTCAAAGCACTTACAGAGATTTGTTTGCTTTTTATAAATTTTTGACTTTGGCTTGTTATAAATACTAAGAATTAATACAAAGATAATCAAAAGGCATCATGGATAATATATTGCCTAGCTTTTATCGTGTCACTTTGTACTGAGGGAGTAACTGAAATACGACTTTTACGTCTGAATTTTGTTGGATCAAATGTTACATGGTAGATAGCTCAACGTAAAAAAGCAGGAAGTCTGACAAACTGAAAGGTCTAAGAAGTGAATATCTGGTACTTATGCTTATACAGAATATACTTGTATGTGCAACTATATTAGACATCCCTGTATTTGTGGGTTTACTTCTATTTAATTTTTCAGATAAAAATAACTAGGTAATTTTGACAATCATCCAAATAGCCATTTCAATAACTGTAACAAGCTAATGTGGAGAACAAATATTTTAAAAATTTTCTGCTTTAATTACATTTTTAAAAAATGTAATTAAAACAAGCTTCAAATCACAAAAGCACACATTTTACTCCCATAAAAAATAGATCTCTCTTTTTAATTTATAACATTGTTTTCCTCTTTTCTTATTAAAAATCGCACTTGGATACTTTATAATCTTATGCACATTTATTAATTTAACTGAAACTTAATTTATCTGTAAAATATTGACCATTTAAAATAAGCCAAATTCAGAGTGTGGAAAAGTCTAGAGGACAAATAGTCTAGTTTTTTTCCCCCAACAAATAAAGGGTATTTTTTCAAAAGGCAGAATTATTAAAAGTTTTTTCAAAACCAAAACCATTATAGTTTTCCAAACAACAAAATTTTTTTGACATCATTGAGGAAGGGTGAACAAATACTGGGTATTAAATAATATTGGAAACAATATTAGTATTATACTAAGAAAAAAGTCCTTATACATCAGAGATACACACTAAAGTATTTATAGGTGAAATGATATCTAGAATTATTTTAAAATACTCGATATATTCCTGTAAAAGTTTTTAATTGTACAAGAAGACTTGTACAATTAAGTGGTAGTCATTCTGACCTCCAGTGAATTATAACAGTAAAGAATAATCATGACCTAGTTCCTCTTAATACTCGAACTCACCTCAAAAAGAGTTGGAGGAGGAGGTGGCAGACTTGTAATTTTGGCTGATCTCTCTTTTTCCACAAGCAGTGCTTCCTTTCGAGCTTTTATATGCCTTAAGAAACAAGAGATGTCATCAATTAATCTACCAGTGATAATATTACAGTACAACTCTCTGGGTTAAAAATATACAAGTCATAGGCTCCAGAAATCCTCTAGTCTGATTCCACAGCCTCAGTAAGCTTTACATGTGTAAAGAGTCTATACACATGTTAAGAAAATGTTTAGAAATTGAGAGAGGCCTATCTAAAGACAGAAAGCTCTATGGTGGGGACCAACCCAAGAAACTTACAATGTTCTTTAGAGTGAAAAAAAACCCAGAAATTTTGTTAAAAATGGCCATTGCTAACTAGTAACGGGGCCCTTAATTTTTTACTTTCCTTCACTCATGTTTCCTGTGAATGGCCCTTTAATTTTTACAACATGCAAAAAATACTGATGACTTCCAGAGTCTACAACCTTTTTTAATGTTATTAATCACATCAATTTTTATTTCATGTTTACATCAGAGACAGACATTGGTTGACATGCATTCTGAACTAGCCATACATTTCTTCAGAAACTTAGTAACTGCTGCTGAACTCAAACTATAACTAGAAAAGAAAGCTCATTAGTTATTATGTTTACCTAAGCAAATCACTCCGTCCCCAGCATTATTTTTAAATCAAGTTTAACAAATGCAATGAATATGCTACTGTGATGTTTAATATTTGCTTACACAGTATCCTATGTATCCTCTACTTTCAATCATGTTAGTTTCAGTTGAGATTATAGTAAAGATTATTACTTTACCAGGTTTTTTGTTTCATTAATATTTCTTTTTTATTTTTCTGTACTTTCAGGGCTTCTTTATGCCTCAAATCTGCTTTTCTTTTCCTTTCTGCTGCCTGCTGTGCCAGAGCATCCAAATCAGGTTCCTAAAAATATACATTACTTAAAATGTCATGTTAAACAAGAATAACAGAAACGTATCTCGTATGATGTCAGAAGTGATTTATCAATTTTGTCATCTTCTGTCTACATACTATAGCAGTGTCTCCCAGAGCATGGTAACAGCACCACTGATGATATGCCATATTAGGGGGGACAAACACAAACATTTTAATGTAAAGTTAATGCAATCAATTAACCTATTATTACAAAAATATAAATAGGATATCGAACTACTTAGGACATGGTTAAAGTAAGTAATAAAAGAGTCCATCTAAATTAAAATGTCAAATATATAGTGATATGGGTAGTTTCCCAGTAAGGGCAAAAATTGTGAACATGATATTCAAATGACAGAGGTTTGGGAAACACTGCACTAAGGCACGAAGTGAATGTGGCACACATAAAACCACAAAAATCTGAGTCAGAACTTAATGGCTATTACTAAAAACACAGGCTAAAACCAAGCACCATGAAACAGACTGCCACAATCTTTAAGATAGTTTCTTCCTCACTAGTTGATATCAAAGATTTACTTTTTTGGTAATTAGCCTGTTTATTGTATGTGACTGATTCTGGGACTGTAGTATTTCCACATCATAAATCACAATAAATCAAAATAATGGGGCAGACTTACCATGAGTTTCTGAAAGTCATCAAAAAATGTTTGCTATTAGTAAATGAAATCCAAATGTATATACATTCAAACCACATGTTTAAGGGAAATATACTGAAATGAGAAATCTGAATTCGCCCCATCAAATCTCTCTAAAATGCCTGAGGTGGACAACTTCTGATTCAGAAGATTATTATTTCCCCAGATAGAGGAGTACTGGAAGAGAATAATGCTAATTTAAACATCATAGGAAGACCAATTTTGTTTGACATGGATTTTACTTGAAATAACTCTTAGTAAGAAATGAGCCTATTATTCACAAATTCCATTAAATTTATAAAAAAGCTCAAGCTGCCTCAAAGAAATTCAATACATGAAAATGTTATCAGAAAAGCATTCAACAACTATAATTTACTTTTGACTAATATTACTGCCACAACTGGGTAGTCAAATAAGATCTCACATTTTCTTTGGCCTGTCGATGTCCCTCTCCCATACTTCTCAAACTTGCCAAATACAGTTTTTCCAAGTTCTGTATTTTCTGAGTTTGTGATTCTTCCCATTCTGCCCTTAGCTCCTCTGCCAAACGTGTAAATTGTTGATTTCTCCTCTGTTTTATGTCTTCTCTTATCTGTAAGGCGATATCTCTTTCTTGTTCTCGAACCTAAAGAATGCGTATTTAACAGGTTATATGAAAGGAAGTTCACTTAAACTTTTTAGAAAAGCTATTTGGAAACAGGAACTCAAATGAATTCTCTTAAGTCTGTCAACTCTCCTTGATACTCATCTTGTATCAGATAAGGACTATTTAAAGCAGAAGATCTGAATGTACAAAAAGTAAAAATCTCAAGACTATATCTAATGTCTCCTAACTGATAGCTTTTATTCAGCACCCACTCCCAAAAGGACTGCCATTATCACTCTAATAACCTATAAAAGCTAAAGTGATAAATATGATTCAATAAAATCTATAGCCCAGAGTATAGATAGAGCCAGGTGAGAACTCCATTTCTGTTGTACATCATCTCTGATTCTAGACAGAACGGTACCTGAAACATACTTCACAAAGACTTTAAAAACACTTCTAGAAAAGGGTTATCTACAATTTCCTGATAAATTTGTTTCAGCAGCTAATAATCTTTCCAGTTAGTGTTCTTCAGTCATTTAAGCTTCCTGTTATCAATTAGACCATTTTTAAAAAAGATAAAGAGCAATTTTCAATATTTGAGTCAAATAATACCTATCTTCCAACTCTTCTACAATCTGCTTACCATCTCAGCCTGTTTTCCAAGTGTTCCAAAACTAGTTAATACTGAAGAACTAGGGCTCTTGCATACCCAGACGAGGTTTTTAAATATAACATTTAGAACATTCTAATGTAAAAGAATACAAGTAATTTGAGGAAGAAAGGAATTTAAAACTTTATTCCAAATAAGTCATACCTGTAGCAATCTTAGTTTTCGTCTTCTTTCATAATCTTCCTTCAAAATGAAGGCTTCCTCATTAGGACTCAATCTCAGCTTGCGAGCATTCACAACTTTTCTTTTCATTTCTGTGTACTTCATGTATGACAACTCTGAATTTAAAAAGGAAAATGTCTATAAAAATAATGTAACATTAAAATAGGGCAGCAAAGATCAGAATTTTGTTGTTTTGTTTTTTTTGAGACAGTCTCGCTCTGTCACCCAGGTTGGAGTGCAGTGGTGTGATCTCAGCTTACTGTAACCTCTGCCTCCCGCTTTCAAGCAATTCTCATGCCTCAGCCTCCAGGGTAGCTGGGATTACAGGTGCCCGCCACCATGCCTGGCTAATTTTTGTATTTTTAGTAGAGATGGGTTTTCACTATGTTGGCCAGGATGGCTCGAACTTCTGGCCTCCAGTGATCCACCTGCCTCGGCTTTCCAAAGTGCTGGGATTACAGGCATGAGCCACTATGTCTGGCGGGAATAATTTTTAAAACTCGTGTTAATACTTTTGATATTTAAAGGTTTATATACATGCAAGGAAAATTTGAGTAAATGAAGTCCAACTTATTTACAAACAGCAATTATAAATTCACACTTAGATCAGTGATACTCAGAAGGGTGGGAAAGGGGAAATGAAGACTGAATCAGAATTACTCAGGAAAGTTTTCTCCCGTCTATAGCAGATTGTCTACCTTGCGTATCTGGACCTGACTTATTGCTGGTTAGCAGTTCCAGAGGTTACTGAGCTTAAATGTGAAAAAGCACAAAGACCTAAAAAGATGTTAGCATAGAATAAATGTTTTCAAAACTACAATTTGACACTTTAGAACTTTCATAACTTGTTCATAACTAGCAAAGTTGCTACAATTTCAAGGGTTCTTCATTCCTAGATTCAACTCCCAGTCTACTGTATATAACTTGATCACCAAGTGTCATTGTTGCCTCTTGAAATCACATCAATCCCATGTTCTATACTCTACAGTAAACAATGCTTCAATAATTACAGTGATGCAAGGTTTACATGAATGACCTGCTCGGCGGTATCAAGTGTTTAGGTTTCCAGATATACTCTTCTTTTCCTTTTTTTTTTGAGATGGAGTCTCGTTCTGTTGCCCAGGTTGGAGTGCAATGATACGATCTCGGCTTACCACAACCTCTGTCTCCTGAGTTCAAGTGATTCTCCTGCCTCAGCCTCCTGAGTAGCTGGGATTACAGGCATGCGCCACCACACCCAACTAATTTTTGTATTTTTAGCAGAGACAGGGTTTTACCATGTTGGCCAGGCTGGCCTCGAACTCCTGACCTAAAGTGATCCACCTGCCTCGGCCTCCCCAATTACTGGGATTACAGGTGTGAGCCACCATGCCCGGCCCAGATTTATTCTTCTGTTGCTACTGTTCACACCCGGTGTTCTCTCTCTCCTCCCTAGGTTATAACATGCTTCTTTTTGGGGGAATGAGACAGAAAGAAATGGAATAAATATAAGAATGTATAGTTCTATAATTTGAATATCCACCTCAGGTAATTCTGATATTAACTGGCTCCCATTACTGCCATTTCCAAAAAATTAGACACTTTACATCAGTACACGACCATTTTATCTGAGACAAGTCAACATTTCTCAGGTCTCCCTCACAACGACCAGGCAGGCAATCTGTTACTGAATATTTACATCTTTCTGAAGCTGGCTTAAGCCCTCCTTCTTTTACGAAGCTGTCCTCTGATAATTCCTGTTCCAATTTCCCACTCCTGATTTGCCCACCTCTAATACATTATTACCTATACATTCAGAAGGGGACAAATTTTACGTTGTCTTGGTATTATCTCCTGTAGTTTTTCAAAAATTACAGTTTGCTCTTTCTAGTTAGATTCCTAACAATTGAAGGACAGTGGCTATGGGTTTTTTAATAAAAATTTTAATATTCAATTAAATTTAATAAATAACTACCAGGTAATAATTCACATACTATGGATGGACAATGTTTTCAACCAGGTGTAAACACAATGGGGCTAGGAGACTGTGGGGTTACCTAACAGGGACTAATACCTTTCCAGTGACTTCTCCATCAGAATGTAAGCTCATGAGGGCAGAATGGACTTATTCACCATTTTATGTCCATAGCCTAAAAACAGTGTCTTGCCCATAGGTAGTTATTTCAGTAAGTGTGTTGACTGACTGAATGACTCAATAAGTTAATTCATGTAAAGTGCTACAGAGCTATACGCAATCATCACTATCTTCAATAAGACTCTAATGCCAAAAAGGAGTAACTGCTTGCATTAAAAAATCTTTTAATGCATCCTACTCATCTAATATTCACACGGCTTTGGTAAAGGTAACTAAAGTACTAATTATATTTTTCATGCTATACATGAAGAAACAAGGTCTCTTGGGTTAAAGGACTTTCCCTGAGTGACAATATCTAGTGGCAGAGCCAAGGGAAGAATCTGGTTTCCTTATTCCAAATGGGTCCTAACTTTCCAACACAAAAAAACATGTGGAGTGGTGAAAATTTTATTTAAGCTGTGGTTGAGAGTGAGATTTAAAAAACAGAAAAGAATTTAACAAAGAAGAAAAAGGAACAAGATTAATCCTCACAATGTATCTTTATTATTTTGTCTGAAGGTCTAAGAATTCACTCATATTTAAATAATTAAGACTAATTCCTGATGAATCTCATAGACATAATATCACTGAATTTTTAAAAAGCCAGACACAAAAGAGTACGATAAAATTGATTTATATAAAGTTCAAAAACAAGCAGAACTAATCCATGAGAGGTAAAAATAAAGTTGCCTTACTGGAGGTTACTGACTCGGAGATGGCACAAAGAAGCTTGCTGGGGTACTGAAAATATTCTATATTTTGATCTGTATGATGGTTTACACAGGTGTATACGTATGTAAAAATTCCTCAAATGGTATACCCAGATTTGTGTGTTTTATTCTTATACTTTAATATATGAGGAAAAAACCCTAATATTTCAGATTTTAAGTATTCATTACTTCATCTCACAGGATTATTGAAAAACATACATACATTTTGTTATTTTTAAGCTCCTAAAATGCGATAGAATAACTGTTTCCTCTTGTGTATAATTTTTACATTTTTAAAACTTTTTATTTGGAAATTTCAGGCTTAGAATTCCCATTTGCCCTTTCAAAATCTGAATAGTAACACTGGCACAATATTTTTTACAGTATTCAATTTTTGTCAGTTATCACACTAATGTCTGTTTTCTGGACCAGGAGCCAATCCAAGGATAACACATTGCATTTGTTGCTGTGTAACTGTGGGTCATCTAAAAAGCAGATGCTAAGATGGGAGTCAACCTGCAAATATTTTCAGACTTCAACGTAAGTCTGACACTGAACGGAGGGAAGTAACAATGGGTAGACCCCTCTTAGCCATGCACTATAAGAAAGGTTCAGCAAGACCTGTGGGAGATCCTCAGGAACAGGCCTGCCACTGTCAGTGGCTAGGAGCAGCCCATGGGAAGCATGGCCTCAGTGCAAATGGAGATTTCAGAATGCAGGGGATTAAGATATGTGAGTTACATTCTCATAATGCCAATGTTATTATGTCTCCCTTAATCTGGGACAGTTTCTCAGTTTGTCTTCAAGACCTTGTCATTTTTGAAAATACTGGCCAAGTACTTTGTTGAATGTCCCTCCATTTAGATTTGTCTAATATTCTATGATTAAACTGAGGTTATGTATTTTTTGGCAAGAACACCACAGAACTGATTACGCACCTTTCTCAGTGCACTGCTATCAAGAGGTAAATGATGCTGAATTTTGGTGACTTGGTTAAGATGATGTCCACCAAGTTTCTCCTCTGTAGTTATTACTTTTCCTTTATAAGTATCTCATGAAGACAGAGTGGAGGCTACAGAAACACGCTTTTCATCATACTTTTGCCCAATGACTTTAGTGTCCACTGATGACTTGTCTGAAACAACTACTGTTGTGTTTACCAAATAGTATTATTTCCATTATTCCTTCTACAATTATCAATCGGAGTCCTGCTGTAAGGAAGTTTTCCCTGCTGCCCCATTTACTTGTTTATTAATTATTTATTCTTAGTAACACGGATTTTTAAATTCTACATTTTATTACTATCCAACATTGAAGATGATACTATTTATCTTGCAAGATGTCGTCCTGAGGATTAAATGGCTCCTGGTACATAGTAATCACAAAATTAACACTAAACTTGGAAGATCTGGGTTCAAGACCCAACACTGACACTCATTAGCAGGAAGATACTAGCCAAGTCATTTAAGTCGCTTTGTTCTCGTTTTCTTAAACTGTATAAAGGGAATAATAATATCTGCCCCAACAGGTTTGTTCCGACGTGATTTAGCGTGAAGTCTTCAAATACACTCTAAGTATTAAGGACTCAAAAGTTCACCATTGTTTTAAAAGCTGAGTTTGTGACAGCATTGAATAACTGAGAGATTAATGTGGCAGACACCAAAAGAGAGCGCGCTCTCTGCATGAAACGATTCCAGGCAAGGCCCTTAACAGCTACCAGGTGGCAGGCCATGGCCGCGGGTGATCTGGGGGAAGCGCCGGGACAGGAGAGGCTGCGGGGAAGCTCGCGCGACCAGACCCTAGGAGAGCGCGCAAAGCCTCTCGCATTGAGCTGCCGGGTCTGGGCCGGACACTCCTTACAGCCGCCAGCCCGACCGCGGGCAGGGCCCACGGCCTGCGGAGCCTGAGAAACGCAGGCCGTACCTGCGTTCGCAACAAGGCGCCTTCCTGGGATCCCCTTCCTTCGGAGCACAATCCCAGCTCCTGGACCTCGGGGAGCCGCGCTCCTACGGGGCGACTGGGAAGCCGGCGCGTCCATCACTCACCTGAGAACCCGGAGCCTGGACACAGTAGCCGCAGCTCAGAGCAAGCCGGCCTGGTAAGCTCCTGCCCATCAGCTGCCCAGCAGCCGTTTCTGCGCCTGCGGGAGAGCCATCGCCGAGCCGCCGTCACTTCCGTCATTCAAACCGCCCGCCAATGGCGGGACTAAACCGCGGGAATAGGCCCGGTCCCGCCTTCCTCGGGGGCAGCCTGGAAGGCCGCGCGGTGTTAAAACCCCACGCCCCGCGCACGCGCACAGGCACGCGTCAGTCCCAGCCTGCGTAGGGGCCCATTATTTGTCACACCTGTTGGGCTTTGACGTTTTCCCCTCTGGGCCGCGCTCGGTGACTCGCGCCTGTAATCCCAGCACTTTGGGAGGCCGAGGCGGGGGGGATCACTTGAGCCCAAGAGTTCAAGACCAAGTCCTTTTAAAAACATGGTGAAGGCCGGGCGTGGTGGCTCACGCCTGTAGTCCCAGCACTTTGGGAGGCTGAGGCGGGCGGATCACAAGGTCAGGAGATTGAGACCATCCTGGCTAAGACGGTGAAACCCTGTCTCTGCTAAAAATGCACAAAAAAAAAATTAGCCGGGCGTGGTGGCAGGCGCCTGTAGTCCCAGCTACTCGGGAGGCTGAGGCAGGAGAATGGCGTGAACCCAGGAGGCGGAGGTTGTAGTGAGCCGAGATTGAGATCGCGCCACTGCATTCCAGCCTGGGCGACAGAGACGCCGTCTCAAAAAAACAAAAAAACCATGGTGAAACCTCATCTTTACAAAAAATACAGCAACAACAAAAATTAGCCAGGCGTGGTGGTGGGCACCTGTAATCCTAGCTACTGGGGAGGCTGAGGCAGGAGAATCGCTTGAACCCAGGAGGCGGAGGTTGCAGTGAGCCGAGATCTCGTCAGTACTGCACTCCAGCCTGGGCGACAGAGCCAAAGCCTGTCTTAAAAAAAAGAGTGCAGAGCCATGAGGGTGACTTTTGTTTTAAGGCCCCATCATGAAGGTATCTTGGGATATGCATCCTTTTCTGTACTGACTACGGAATTCATTGGTACTATTATGTGCAGTTAATGTCTTATAGCTTTCATTTAAGGCCTCCAGCTCATAACAACAATGAGCCTTTATGTTACCCTGTGCCTCCAGAGGTCCAACGCATGGAGAGCACCTCACGGATTTATCTGCTGTAAATAACCAATAATCAGGTGATGAGCACAGGTTAATATTTATTGAGTATCTGTTATGTGTGGAGTACATTATGTTAGGTGCAGGGGAGACAAGGGTGAATGGATTACGATGCCTGTACTAGATTTTGCAGTCTGGGTCATGGGGGTTAAACATATCAGGAATCGAAGGATTAAAAATGGGGGATTGGGATGGGAAGTTGCTGACACGATCAGATCTGGCTGCACTGTGGAGAAAAGGTCAGAGGGAGTGAAGACAGAAGGCCGGATACTACTGCAGGAAGTGAAAGAGAATAGCAGTGAGAATGGAGAGAAGTGGGTAGATTGAATAGGAAGCCAGACATCAGGAATTGATGGTTACCTGGTTATGGGAGGCAAAAGAGGAGAAAACAAGGGTGATGCCCAAGTCCCAGATACCTAGCACCTGGGTAGATAGTGATAACATCCTCCTGGAACACACAGGAAGAGAACCAGGAGGGAGAAGTAATGAGTTACACTTTGAATATTTTGAATTTGAGCTGTTTATGAGATATCTAGACAAAGGATGCATTTCAGAAACTTAGGACACAAAATTAGCAGTACTTGACAATTGCATGTGAGATTGAGAGAAAAGGGAAAGTGAAGTTAATTTCATAGGCCACTAGCTTGGGTAGCAGTGCTGATTCTTGATTGTAAAGGGAGAAATCAAAAATGAGAGTTAAGTGGGCAAGGTGATGAGCCAAGCTCTGTGTATATTGAACTTCATGTGCCTGTAGAACATCCAGTGATGTACTATAAGCAGATGAATACATTGGTAGATACCCCACAGAAAGAACTAGGCTAAGCATAAAGGGATTTCTTTGTTATATGAGTAATAACAAAAGCCAGTAGAATGGATGAGATCACTTAGGGAGAATTTGCAGAGTGAGAAGAGCAATGAGCAAAGAACCAAACTCTGAGGAACACCAAAACTTAAAGGGATGGAGTTGGAGGAAGGAACTGTCAAGTACAGGAAGAAATAATGTGATTCCATCTCAGATTTACAGATCAGGATACTGAGTTGCAGAGAGGTTCAGCAACTTGGCCAAGGGCACGTTTAAGTCAAGGGTGAACCAGGACTAGAATTCACGTTTCCCTCCCAAATATTAGAGTTCTTCTCAGCATCTCTCCCCGTTTCCTGTCACATTTATCTTGAAGAATAATTATATTCATTTTAAACATTTTTCAGCATCCTCCATACAGACACAGAGATACTCTTCCACACCCAATAAAACATGTGCATGTTATTTCATGCCTTGGGCTAAGTTTAGGGCCTGGACATGGGTTCCTGCACATGCTGCCCCATGGCACTTAGGAGTTCTTATTGAAATGAGCTGTTTATAGGGCTCTCTATTGATTACATTCTAAGTTCCTTGAGAACGAGGAGTGCACTTTGTTCAGTTGCCTGGTATAAATGAATAAAGCTGAATAGATGAACAAATTATATGCTTCACTTCCTCAACCTGCATCCTGGGCAGAAATTCTACACTTGGAGATTTTGAATCAAGGCTTGTTCTGTTTTTAATAGAAGGCAGTGAGGAATCAAAGCCCTAGTGGGCTTAGAGTCAGAGCATCTGGCTTAGCATTACCACAGATACTTTGTAGCCATGGGACCTCGATCAATTGCTGCCAACCAAACCACCCTGGAATGTCCAACGTGGGTCACTTACTATGGCTGGCAGTTGATGTTGGCTGGCAGCTGAGAGCTCAGCTGGAACTGTTGACTGGAGTGTCCACTCATGTGGACATCTCTATGTAGATTGGACATCTCACTCCATGGTGGCTGGTTTGGAGAGGCAGCATCTTAAGAGTGACCGTTCGCAGAGAAAGAAAGTGGAAACTGCAAGTCCTTTAAACGGTGAGGCAGAGAATGAGTTGTAGTAAGTTGTACCACATTTTATGGGTTAAGTAACATGGAGCCAGCCCAGATTCAACTGACAGGGAAATGAACTCCGTCTCTCAATGGAGGCAGTGACAAAGAATTTGTAGCCATCTTAATCCACCACTATTTCTTAGTAATACTTCATCTCCCCTCTCTATAGGGTGCTTGTGAGACTCAAAAGGCATGAATCATATGAGAGCACTTTGTAAACTCTAGAGGGGTATACACATACTAGGTAGTTTAGCAGTTATTTTATTTTATTTTTTGTCCAGCACCTTTCTCTTCTCCTCTGGTACAGACCCAGACCACTAGGCCACAGGTAGGCATGTGACCCAGACTGGACAAATCGCAGTTCTTGTTTCCATTGCCATTGTGACCAACGGAGGTTTGGGTGCATGACCTAATCGGGGCAATCAGAGTATTTCACAGGAATTGGCACTGGAGACAGCAGAGACAAATATTTTCCTCTCTGGGCTCATGTTAGGAGGGAAACCTGGAGCTTTCCCAGGTGGTCCCCCACAAGCTGGTCTGAAAGAATGAGTGTGACAGCAAGGAGCGCAGAGAGAGAATTCGGATAGTGTTCAAGTCCCTGGATCTAGCCATCCCTGAGGTCAGTATGCCTGCCTATTCTGTAGCAAACTGGTAGCAGCCATTCAATCTTTTACTGAAGCTGCTTTGAATGGGAATTTCTATTTTTTTTTGCAAGTTAAGAAGGACTGTAGATTTTTATTTAAATTCTCATAGACAAACAAATTTGGATGTCTTGGGAGATAATATAGAATAATGTTTAAGATCTTGGCTGAGCGCAGTGGCTCACACCTATAATTCCAGCACTTTGGAAGGCTGACGCAGGAAGATTGCTTGAGCCCAGGAGTTCGAGACCAACCTGGGAAACATAGGGAGACTCGATCTCTACAAAAATATTTAAAAATTAGCCGGGTATGGTGGTGTGCACCTGTAGTCCCAGCTATTTGGGAGACTGAGGTGGGAGGATAGCTTGAGCCGAGAAGGTCAAGGCGGCAGTGAGCTGTGATTGTGCCACTGCAGAAAGTAAAGTTTGGGCAACTGAGTGAGACTCTGTCTGAAAAATAAAAATGTTACATAGAATTCTTCCAACTGGATTTAAATTTCTGGCTAACTCTGTGACTTTGTGCTAGTTACTGGACTTCTTTAAAAGTCTGTTTCCTCATCTCTTAAAGAGATGAAGTAAAAGTACTCAAAAGGTTCTTGTGAGGTTTAAAGCTCTTAAAACAATGTCTGGCACAACATGTGCAATAAATGTTATCTTTTTTGGCTTTTATTTTAATACATTCATTTTAGAATACAAGAGAGGGAAAAAAACCCAAACTCTTAAATGTGTTTATTGGTGTTTTGAATTTGATTTTTTTTTTTGGTAGAGATGGGCAGTTGCTTTGTTGCCCACATTGGTTTCAACTCCTGAACTCAAGTGATCCTCCCACCTTGGCCTCCCAAAGTGCTGTGATGACAGGCATCAGCCACCACACCCGGCCTGGTTTGATTTTCAATTCAGTTTTTTTGTAGAGTTTAGGCCTAGGAAGAGGTATGTATATTTAGTTTCTAGTATTGTTAACCTATTGAGAATGAACATCAATAACCAGTGAACAAGAGGGAGAATTGTCCTCAGCAGTAATGACATTAGTGTCACTGGTTTCTGTGTAATGCTGCCACTCTTCAAAATGCAACTGAAGCCATTTAGGATTGAAACAGTTTAAGATGTTTCTCTGGTGGCAAGGATTTCACTGTTTCATCTTTATCCACATCCAATATAAGTAAATGATATTTAAGTGGGGAGGAACCCTCAATAATTCTTATGTATAAAAGCCAGAAAACACGGGGATCTCTGCAAGAACAAAAGTAATCAAAGAACTTCCATCTGATCATCTGCTCACTGCCCCCTTTCTTCATAGTATACACACCACAGGAGCTTAACAAGTGACAGTATCTCAGTAGAATAATTTAGAGCCACCACCAGGAGTGAGATTAAGAGTGCCAGGCAGGAGAGGAAGGATGGGCTGAGAAAAACTTTTAAAAGCTG